GCACTTCCACGGACCCCCTTTGCGGCGCTGGAAAGGCGACGAGGGTGCCAAAAATCAAGAAGCTTGCTAAGTCCATCAGCAATGTATATTCGGGCCACTCGGTGGCTGGCCCACCGGCCTTTTAATAATGCCAGTTCCATGCTTCCTGTACTCTGCACAATCCACGTGGCGCCACCGCGCCTCAGAGAGTACGGCCTAAAGGCAAAACTCTGCAGGTGAAAACGACGAATGTACGAGTCGAAATGATTTCTAAAGGCCTGTCCTGAAAAAGCCCACAACTTGCAATGAAGAAGATTATGGCGGGCTAAAATTTCCCGTATAGTCTGTGCGACCATCACCGTAAAAGCATGATCCGTTGTGACCATTTCATCAGCGGCGTTCCGTTTGCCAGTCTTAGTGTCCTTCAATGACACGACGAGTCTCTTTGAATTCACCAAAAGATCTTGCCCTTTCAATTGAAGTAGTTCACCAGTCCTAAGGAGGGTAAAGAACCCTAAGGTGAGAAGACAACAGAAGAAGGGATCATTATGGGAAAGTGCATAATGTGCAAGGCTGAGAACAATGTCGCTGGTCAATGGAGGTGCACGCGCCGGCCATTCCATCTTTTTCCAATTGGCGAATAATTTCCAAGCCGAAGGAATTTTTCTTTTGGTGAAAGGCTCAAAGAAGTGAAGACCGGACAACGCGTTGCCAACGGTGTAGAGAGAGTCACCGTCTTCCCAACACAATGCGACCCATTCAGAACAAGCGAGATCTAACTCAGCCTCATTCCTCACATTTACAATGAAAGGGAGCAAAAGACACAGAGCCACAAAGTAGGCTGCACGAGTCTTGTCCGTTACTCCTGCATTTCGAAGGTCAAGGCCCTTTCGGGCAGCTTTTCGCTCACTGCGAGTTCGTTTGTGGATGACCTTTCCGACGACTCTCGGCATCAGTGGGATTCTCCGTGCTCTCAATGTGTCCTAGAACCAAGTAGATGTTGTAAAGGAGGAGATGGGCATTCAACACCTTCAACAAACGGTTAAGCATCTTGCTACTTGACCGACCCTTGGCGATGACACTGATGGAGACGTAGGAATCGCTCAAGTGAAAGATTCTCCTATCGCTCCAGTGTTCGGACCTGATTCCTCTCAACACACTCAACAAGATGGTCTTCAATTCCAGTTGGTTAATGTGTTGTGGTCTTGACCAGTGCATTCTGAAGCCCTTCTGCCATATGAACCAAGCTGCGCGGATAGATTGCCGTGGAAATGCTCTAGGGTTCACCAAATTGCCACTTACCACCCGAACGTCGCTTCCGGTGAAGTTCGTGCGACTCAACATCATGAGATTGAAGTCCTTAACAGTACAAGGAGGGTCAGCATCAACCATTGTTTGACATCCATACTGCAACACGCGGGCCAGGGGAGCCTGCAAACGCAACGCAGCTCGGAACCCCGGTGCCATACCCATCCTAAGGCACAAATGCCGAAATTGAATCCTCGGGAGGAAGTGGCGACAAAGAGAGGCCCCAATAATGACAAAGGAGTAGATGCTGAACGAATCTCCTATCAATGAACACTTCTCTCGCTCATAACCCTTTGGGTCCTGTTTGATTTTGCTAGCTGACCAGGCGACATCACAATGTCCGAAACCGTAGCCCATCAACAGTTCCCTCTCAGAACTATTAGTTAACCTCCAAAATTCATTTCGCCAGAGCAAGAACTCTTCCCGAAACTGATACGGGGGGTAGACATAGCCTGTAATAGCCCATCGTGCTTGGCAGTCTATATCCGCTCTATGAATGCCTGCCGGCTTGTAAGGAGGTTCTTCTTTCCAAACTGCTCTCATGCATGTGGGGAAGCACTTTGCAGTCTTTTCACCTGGCCAAACAAATCCCGGGGTGATCCACTGCTCTGTGTCAGGGTACTGACAGGGTGCCCTAATGGTGTTCCAACGTCTACCAGGGATGACCTCAACACCTTGCAAAACTCCTTCAACCTCTTCGGTGGTCCAACACAGACGGGGTCTCCGAAGGGGGACTGCATCCGCTGAATCCAGGTAGTAGGGATGGCATCCCATCCATTCTGAAATCTCTGCTGATGCTTCCTCATCCATAGATGCCACGTTCTCGGCTGCTACTTTGACGTCAACTTCTGTAGGGAAGACCTCTCGAATAAGGCCCCAAACGCGCAGGAACTCGAAGAACAAACTGCTTTCGCTTCCTGCCAAGTTCCTTCGGTTAGCCCTTGCCGAACTGAGATCACGGCACGGGAAACCACCCCACAAGTGGACCTCCTTGACTGTGTGAAAGCTCCTATGCCAGGATTGTACCGTTTCGCGGGATATGTTTCTCACGTCTCGCAAGATTTCAACCCCTGGCCATTGTCTGCTCACCACCCGATTGGCGGGGGCGTGGATGTCCACGGCTATGGCGCCTTGAGGCACAATGCTCAAAATGTCGTAGATTCTGTATGTGCCACCAATGCCGGAGAAGAGGCCCACCACCAGCACTGGCGCTGTCCCTAATGTCTTGTTGGACAGTCGGCTCGACAGAACAAAGTCTCGACCCTGATTGGTCAACTGTGTGGAGTAGCCTGCGGCTCCCCCTGTCTCTGATGCATCTGAACACCACAACGACTGATGTACCACTGCCATTAAGCTGGTATGCAGCATGGGTATGCCCCCTAATATGTTGAAAAACTCTCTCTTAGTCTTAAGAGCTAGGTCCTCCCCCTGATCTCCTTTGTTGATGAACCTCCAGCAGCTATCCAAGAAACTCATTCCAGGCCTGCGAAACTGAAGGACGTGTACCCACCTGCCTGCAACCACCTGTACCTGCTTCCTTTTAAGAAAACGTTGACTCAACATCCATAGGGTTGCCTGGACAAGCTTTCCAAAACGATGTGGGGATCCTCCAACGACACCTAGTTCTCCTTGAAGCAACGCACCTAGTTCTTCTACCTCTTGAGAGTTACGAATTTTCTTCTCTGCCGATAGGATGCCATGGGATTTCCAGGTCTCCTCAACTGAATCGTGGACCTGATCACCAATCAAGGGGGGATCTCCAGCAACTCTCCTATCTCCTCCCATAAAATTGTCAAGGTAGACTTGCCAAAAGTACTTGTCTTCTCTCAAGGCTGTGCAAGCTGTCTGTAAGAGAACTTGTGGGACCGGCTGGCCACGTCTCACTTGGGCCTCTTTAGAAAGTCCTGCCCTCCAAAGGATCTCCTCTGAAACTTCTTGCATTAGGGCAACCGAGCTATGCATCCCCATAGGCAAGACCCTGCATGCTAGATAGTGTGTTTCGGAACTTTCTATACCGACCGAATGGCCCGGGTAGGACACAGCAAAAGCCAGGTAACCCAGCCAAACTCTAGGCAACTCAAACAAATAAAATGCAGACGAGATGTCGCTCTGATAGAAATGCAAACTCTGATTGCACTCAAGAACTGCCGCCTGCCAAGCCGTGATAGCTGGTAGGCCTTCCACTGCTCCCCTCACCTGATGCATTGCACTATTGGTTGCTTTCAAATTCATAATGACCCTCAACACATTGGCACCTGTTGAAATGGTTGCGGGCTTCTTCACTCCGAAGATTCCGTTCAGGATCTTTGTACCCTCAAGTTCAACAACTTGTGACGCAGGTATCCACTCACAAATCCCGTGGGCAACAAGGGACTCACAAACCCGAAATTTCTCACCTGCCCCAAAATGAGCCAACCCCGGAATGCGCGGACACGGACGATCGAAAGAAGCTTTCAACAATTTCTCCGGGGACTCCAAGATCTTCTTCGTGGCAGGGGAAACCAATTCAACCAATTTAATCGACCCCCCATGTCCCATGGGAGGTAGAGCAGGAAGGATTTGCTGCAATGTCAAAGGTTCGCAAGTGCCAACCTCTTCCCCACAATAGTCGAGTTTCGCACCCTCTAAATCACGCCCAACCTTTTCAAAGCTCTGGAGAGGAGCGCAGTGACACTGCACAAGTCTCTGCACGGCCTTTTTGGCCGCTTCTGCTCCCCTCGCTTCAAGCTTCGTCCATTTGCCCGGTGCCAGCGGCCTCAAAGGTCCTGCAAGGCCACCAGCAGACTGTAGACAAAGCATCAACCAGGCGTCTTCAGCCCACCTGTTGGAGAACTCTTCACTGCCAGCCTCTTCAAAGTCAACCTTCCTCAAAGCTTGGAAAACTGCTTCTGTCTCTCCTCTGCGCAACGGAAACGTGGCAGCCCTCTTGGGCCCCACTGAACCAGCTGCGTTCACCCAACTCTCATACAACACACGCCTGACCCAACGCCATGGGCCAGAATGTCCACACTCAACGGCCTGCACTGACAACCATGCCAAAAGAGTTCCAGCATTCTTCAAATCCCGAACGCTCGCTCCTATGGCGAGGCAGATCTCCTGCCCGGTTGCCAACGAATTCAATGAACCTGTACTAGAACCAGGGGACCTGGCCAACTCAAAAGCTGTAGGTGTGCCGGCTGCATCCTCCTGCTTCTCAACATCCTCTTGTCCTGCCTCCTTCAAACAAGGCGCCAAGCCCCCAGTTCCTCTTGGAGGACTAACTGTCGCCAAAATGTCCTTCACTTTTCCTCTTTGTCTCCCTTGTCGTGCGTCTCCTTCCACTTGTTTTTGCCTTTTCCTTCTCTGTCCGACCAACTTCCTTTGTCTTTTCCTTTTCCGCCCTTCTTTCCTCTTCCTTTGCCTTTGTCCTGCTGCCATGGCCCTTTCGACGCTGGATACCAGCTTCTCTGCCATCCTCGGCTGGGCATCCAAGCTTCGGGTGTCTCCGCCTTGAGGCTCGTCTTGGCATGCTTTCTCGCCTCCAACAATATTGCTGCCGAGGTGGCATGCTGCTCCTCGCCCTCGTGCACCTCGAGGTATTTGGCCTGGCTCCACGATGCATCCATCAGTGCTTGATGTGCTGCGAGGAAGTGGCCCGCCAGCAAGTCGCAACCTCTTCCGATCGACCCCGCACGGAATGCATCCAGCGAGGCGGCCATGAGCGACAAGTCCCTCATTGGGCCTTTCATGTGAGAGAACTGAGGTTTCACATGCAGCTGGAAGTATGTTGTCAACTTCACTCCCTCCGTGATTGCGCTTCCTCCTCCTCTTGACACCTCGACTAAAGCCCCCTGGTCTAAGGCGGCTTGGGCTTTCTGTACTAGCAGGCGAAGTACGGCTCCCGGGCTTGCTTTGGATCTTTTTCTCAATGGCGCTTCGAATTGACTTTCGCTGTCGGATCCTGAATCCCCCGATGATTCTTCGTCGGAGCTGTCTGACCCGCTCGAGCTGACAAGGACCCCGTTTACTAGTCTCCTTTTCTTCCCCTTTTTCTTCTCCTTCTTTTTCTTTTTCTTTTCTGATCGGCTGCGTTCCTTGTCTTTCTTTGGAGGGTCTTTGTCGCCGTCTTTCTTCTTCTGAACTCGCTTGCCCACCTGGTTGAGCAAGGCCAGCAACTCCTCCCTTTCCGTCCTCTGAGGTGGCGCCCCTTCTTTCTCCTTCTCCTTCTCGTCTCCGCTCTTTCGGAGTCGACCTGCTGCTGAGTGCTGTGCTTGTCTCACCAACTGGCTCGAGACGTCTTTCGAAGAAGAACCTCTTGAATCCTCCAGTTGCTTCCTCTTCCTCAGCGATGTCCCACTCGTCAGGCCTCGACTCTCCTCCGCATAGCCGGAACTTAGCTCTCGATCCGGCGACTGATCCTCGGCACCTTCCTCTTCCTCCAATCTTCTCAAATCCCTGACGGTCGGTCGAACTGCGCCTCCAAGCCGATCTCGTACTGCATCCAGCTTCTTCCTCAACTCGGCGGTGGACATCTGCTCTCGTTCGCGGGAGGTACCAATATCCACCCCCGCTGGTTCGCCGTCCTCCTCTTCGGGCCCGGTGAGGTCCTTCCTGGATGTGCCACCTGGGATCTCGTCTCCTCCCAACCAAGTGAGCCCTTCTGCCACGCCTTTCCCTTTGGCCCGCGCTCGAGAAGCAGCGTGGCTCGGTCGCAGCGCGCCTGGACGCGTCTCGCGACTTTTGGGGGCCGGACGCGATCTTGCCTTCTCTCTTCCACCTTTCTCCGCAACAACCTTCTTGTCCTCCATGTTCGACCCCAACCAACTCAAGTCGGGGAGCACGGACCTGTCTCGCGAGGGTCCAGCTCCCCCTTCTCCAACAATCTCTTCTCTCTCTTCCCCTGGGATCTCCTCTCCGTCGAGCCACTTTGCTACTTGTCGTCGGTGAGACCCTAGGAAGTATGGGGGATTGAAGCCTTCTCTGCTGAATGCCTTCAGCCGAGTGACGTGGAGGAAATTTTCTTCGGCTTCGGTGCAAGGAGAACTTATGCACAAATGTAAGAACCCCTCTTTCCTGTTGAAGAAGGATGAAATCCGCTTGTTCAACTGAGGATCTGAGCATCCGATTCCATGAGCTCTCAACGCCATGCCACCTTCTGAAGTGACCATCCGGTCCATCACCACAAAGCCTGCTCGTGCTTGCGAAGGAGGCTCCCAGTTCGTGAAGCTCATGGGAATCTCGACACAATCCCCCCGGTTCAGATTCAACAAAGCCCAATCCTCCTTCTCCTCCAAGCTGTACTCTGTACCTTCTTGCCATGCTTCGAAGATGGTCCTTAACGCGGACATGGCGGCGGCCTCGGGACGTTGTAATACTCGTCCTCTCTCGATGACCTCAACTCCTCTGGCTTGCGCTTCCGGTGTAACCTGACACCTGGTTTCGACCCTCGTGTAGTCGATTGCTGATGTTTGCGGCATCCTCTGCGACCTCGCTTCCTCTCTCGATCACCTCCTTCTCGATGCCTGTGCCTCCTATGCGAACTGGCTGCCGCGTGCGACCTCCTCTCACGTGCACCTTCTTTCTCCTCCTTCTTCACTGCCACCCGCGGGGGCGGGGCTGGCACAGGCGGGACAGCTGCCGGCGGTTTTCTCTCCGGTGTGTGCTGTTCCTCCAGCCGATCCTCCTCTTCAGCCTCCGTATACGTGTATGAATACGACTCTTCAGGATCAGGTTCTCCCCGTTGAGGTTCTTCTTCAGCTTGTGGAGGTCGACGAGGCTGGGACTTCGCGGAAGCACCAACGGCCTCAGAGTCCCCTCGTTCCGGAGCAGCTGGTGCAAGAGGGGGTGTCGCAGGAGTAAACCTCAGCGACAGTGTCCTCAGAGTCCGAGTGGTACGGGAAAGGTCCACCAGCAAGTCGTGAACAGTTCCTCTCAACTCAGGACAACCCCAACCAGCCCTGAGATCACTCTGGATGTTCTCAAGGGCGGAACAGCCAACGCACCAGCTGTCTTCGACGGAGCAGGGAGTCTGCCGGCACTTATTGCAGCGAGGTCGAGGCATAGAATGCCAGTGAAGGGCTAATAAGCCGAAAGGTGCGATCCGGTCGTTTGGTTTCTCCCTATGTCTCTAAAGAGGTCAATTGTCGGCATTGACTCTGCATGTGTTGGGGGTTGGGTATTTGAAGGGTCTCCAACTTTCCGGGCCCGCAACTAGCAAAACCTTATTCTGTAAAGTTGCTAGGTTCCAAGAGTGGGTTTGTGTTTGGACACCGTGCAGGGTGATCCAAGTACACACCAAATTGATCAAAAAAGCACCAAAAAGCCAGGCTTTGGACAGCTGTAGCCATCTGTAACCTACACCTAAGCCTCAGAACAGTTTGCATTCCTTCGCTCCTGGCCCTGTTTGCTTGTCCCTTCGCGGCCCTTCGCGCCCCGTGACCATCTTCTGGGGCCCCCCCGTGACCTTGGGCGCCTTGTTCTGCACGAACCTCAGCGGACAAGACGCTAGGATTCCGAAGTGAAGTGGACAGCCAAGCACTGTATAATCATGTGGGGTTCGACCAGATTTCAGCCCAGTCACTCCAAATCAGATCCTGTTCCCAAATCAGGGTACTTTGAAAGCGCTTCCAAGGTGTCCTGTCGCGATTTCGACACTTCAAACGTATACAGATTTTCAGCAACTCTCACGCCCTCAAAAGGTGGGCTTGGACTATCCCTCGGCATTGTGCCCGTTGGTTTCAACTATGTATAAGCCAGATTATAAGCCAGGCTGCTGTATGTCATTGCTTGGCCGTTTCGCCCAATTGGTGATGCTAGCTGCAATTTCACGTTTGCACATGTTTCCACAAGACAAATCGTTGAGAACAACTTGGCTGGTTAAGGAATCAGGACCTTGAATTGATTCTGCATTATTATACTGTAACACCCATATATGCCAATATGCGCCAAACATGTCTTGTATAGCTGCACTTCATACGTCGTACGCAGATTCACCGGAGTCTCCTGGGAGGTTGAGAAAGAGTTCATCAGCATGAACTTGAGATCCTGAGTTCCGACTGAGAGATACTCTTGTCACTACTCTCGTCTTCATCCGCACGCGAGGGCTCAAAGGCTCATTGGCTTCAATCAGGCCATGAGCCTTATGACGAAGCCACCCCGTCTGTGCGCAGCGACGAACACCAAGCTTCGGTCTTGAACTCTTTTCGCATGGAAGCGACTTGCTTTGCAATCCTTGGCTTGGCAAACTCGGCCCCGAAACATCACCGAACACCTCGCTGTTCCCCGAAAGCCCCGGCAAACTCGCCGCCTCCAGACTCCGTCTCCCGAGATCTCCCCAGTGTGGACTCGCGTGCGAGAGCCGGTGCTCCGGTGGGGTGTGACGGGCGGTTTTGCGCCAAGGGTCAGATCCAAAAAGGTGAAGCCTTGTGTGACGGGCAGCAGGGACTTGGCCTTCTCAAGGCCCATACCTGTTGGTCACAGGCTTGGAGTTGATGAGATGGGAGTTGCTGTCTCTCTTTTTTTTCGCGAGTGTCCGGCCGAGGATTCCCCGTCTCAAGATCCTGTCTGCCTTTCAGATAAGAAGTTGAAATATGTTTAAAGTACTAAGTACATGAAAGTACAATGTATATATAATATATCTATCTATCTCAATTATACTCATGACATGCTCAGTCAGGTAGAGCCCACAAAAATCCATGGCATTGGGTTGGCATCCGCATCATTTCGACCTCAGCTACTAAATCTCAACGAAACCGTTCACAGCTGCCGTGAAAGGCCTTGCCTGTACCCAATCCGCCATTCAGCTTAAGGATGAGAGTCTTCTTCAAGAGCCTGGGGTCCTGTGCGCACGACGCACGGGCCGCCTGCCAAATACACCAGCCAAATGACTCGGAAATTCGACATGGCCTCGATGGCCTCCTACATTTGAAAAGGCCGAGCTTGCACAAAAATGTTTGCAACATCTTCCAAATACGATGTCCCACCCAACCCGCAACGTCTACAATCTGTCAAGCCACTGGCTTCTCTCTCAGCTTCTCATACCTGAGCAAGCATGAATCCGAGGGTCTAACATTCCATGCTGCAGGGTCGCCTGAAAGAACAACCGACATCCCTTCATTCCTCACCATTGACATCTGATATGGTAACCTGGGAACCGGTAATTAACCATTTGGCATATGAAAAAAAGAAGCATGATCTTGCAATGCAAGCAGCCTGCTATTTTGTCATGAGGGAAGTACTTAACCTACCAGTGCCACGTGTCCAGCTTGAAGTCTTCAGCCATGTGGGACCATGGTCCAAGATTGGGTGACATGGTGAGTGCGTGGAAAATATTTCTTGGATTCCCGAGAAGGTGGTGACCGCCCAAATTAGAAAAGAGTTCATCGTCGAGAAGCATGTCGGGCGAGTCCAGTTGGAGTCATCACTTACACTCTTTACATGCGCACTGTCCAAATCTCTGGCCAAATTGGCTTCAAAAAAGCCAAGTCAGTTCGGCAACACACATTGACATTTACATGATACATTTACATGTATAACTGTATGACTATTTATATATCCAAGTCTGGAGAATAGTGAATCGTGACTCTCATTTCTCCACTTTGAGCAGCTCAACCCCCAAACCACACCAAAAAAGGCCTGTGCCCTGGCCAACAGCACTCCTTTCCATCTTGTCCAGGAGGCTCTGGCAACTTCTCCACCGGATCCAGCTTGCTCTCCGGAATCATCACCTGAAATCATCACGTCCAACGGCTAAAGGAGGAAAACATGTAAAGTACGGTCACAATTTACTACGTGTGGCTGTTGCATCCTTTGAAATTTGTGAGTCCCCTATCGTTTCCCGGGTTGGAGTGTGCCCGCATATGAATGCGACGCTCTGGTGCAATCGTAATCATCGCACATTTTGAAGGCATTTCATGTGCAAATCTCAAAGCTGGATACTGCGCGCATCGCACCTCTCCCACGCTTCTTGCACGTCAACACACTGCCCCTGGGGCCCATGCATCAGCGCCAGAAACAAGGACGCCTGGGATTGAAAGTCAAGATGCAAACATCCGCAAAAAGGATCTCTTGAGTGACTCGTCCTTGTAGGTGGTGTCAGGAGCCATCTGGGAACATGACGAAGCTCAATAGAAGAGTCAGGGATGGCTGGTTGGAAGACCTAACTGCAACCCTGGCCCGGCGGCTCAAACATGCCAAGCGAGTTGGGCTCTCAAGAGGGGCACAGTGGCAAAAAACGAGGCGCATAGAACATTCCGAGCTACCATAAGTGTACTTGAAGGCGGCGATGGCAGTGTCGTTCAAGCCCTCCTGAAAGGACACACCCCAGAAGCACCGACAAAAGAAGGGCTTGCAAAAAATTCCCTGCTTTGAGACACACCCACCTCGGTGCTTCCCGATCGTGATATGCCAGTACCATCCAAGGTGGGGCACATGGGGGGCACCCTGCTCTCACTGCCCACACTCTGCTGGTTGGAAGCATTCTCTCGTGGTATGTGGGGCCTGAGTCCCATCTCACCCAACAACATCCAACAATGTGACTGCTCAAGGGGCCACACCGGCAGCGGCCGACATGGGTTGGTTGGAGGTCCGTTGCGGCCTGTCCAACGGCCGAGCGCGGGTTGGATAAGGTTGTGGTGGTTCACAACATCAGGCTCCTTCTTCATCTTCTCCTCGAATTTAGGCCACATGTCAACCATCTTTGAAGGCCCCACCTGGCAAAATTCTCCAAACATGATGTCACCGTGCAGAATGGCTGGTGTTCTGCACCGTAGCTTGACTGCCACAGGACGGAGCCGTTTCCAAGGCACAGCAGGAGCGGCCACATGAATGAACGCTGGCACCAGTGACCAGTGCATGTCAAGCGTAGCTCGTGCACCAAAATGTCAAGCGATTCGAAAACAAAACACCGCGTTGCTGTAACAGAACCATCTTGCCCTTGTTTGCAATTTTCACTTGCAGGCGAGCGTGGAGCTCGCCTGGAGCCGGGAACTAATAGAACGGACAACATTTTACTATACGGTGTGTGTATTATGTATCATATAATATATATCTATATATCTATATGACTGTATATATATATATATGATATACTAGTAATTATAACAATATAATACAATATTTAAAAAGCAAAACGCAACTATAAAAACATAACGTAACATAATATAGTATAATAAACTATACATATACACACACATATATATATATATAGATAGAGAGAGAGAATTTACGGGAAACTTCCCACGTTCCTCAAAAGTGGTCCCCCGAAGTGCGGACATGCCGATGTGGCCGAGAAACGAGGTACCGATGACGGGGAGAATCCATTGGTTTGGATTACTGTATCATGTTCTCTTTGCCGCCATGGGCAACCTGGCATCGTGTCGGGTACTTTTCTATGATCCATCATCATCCATCTCACATTGCTTCGCCACCAAACAGATGACACATGTGCTGATCTAGAATCTATGCACGCGAGATGCATTTGCTAGATGTGTCGACACCAGCTTTCACTGCAAAAACACACCGAGCCCACGCGTGAACAGCCCGGGTCACGTGAACACGCGTCCCGCGTGACGGTCGCCCGGGTCGGTCGCGTGTTTTCGCGCCTTGGAGACGATCTCCATGAAAGTGGGCTTCAGAGAGGCGCCACCCACCAGGAAGCCATCAATGTTGGGCTTGGTGATGAGCTCCTCGAAGCACCCAGGTCTTTTAAAATGAGACTCGGCCGTTTAGGAATGGCCAGAACATATGTTGGAGGGAAACGGAAGATAAAAAGTAATAGATTAAATGAACACCAACGCAGTACGCTGGTGTTTAACAAGTCAAGCATCGTTATCTTGTTGTTTTGTCGTTTCTATTTCTATCTGTGTAAAATCAGGAGCTGTGGATTCTCTCTCAACTGGGTTGAGTTTCAGGTTCTCACCATCGATCAGGGAAGGCCCCCCCCACAGGTAGAAGGGGAATCCCTCTGAGCACCAGGCCAGAATGCTGGCCCAACATGAGGCTTCTCGACTTTGACAAAAATCGAGTCGTTGAGATTTGTAACGATTTGCTTTGACTTTGGAGGACGTGTCTACCTCGTCAAAGGTGTCCCCTTGTGCCATTGCCCCCAATTGACAATTCTCTGGGAGGGGTGAGGATGGCGGTGGGGCCTGTGTTGAGTCGAGTCCCTCAACTGCTTTCGACTCGCTCCGGACCCCGCACGGTTGACCGTCCGCGCAGTTGTCAGGTGATACGCTGCCGCCATACTGGATTTGCAACTGGCGCACAGGGACAAAGCAAATCTATCCAAATGTCTAGTCTAGTGCACGCCGCAAATGTCTGGTGCGGAATCCAGGTCTTTCATATATCGAGTCAAGGTGTCAAACGACAAGACTCGACAAACTAAAATGTCAATGTATGTATAGCTTCAGCATACATCATGTGATACCATGCCCGCACTTTTGTGGCCGCTGTGAGGCTATGCTTAACATCCGGGTGCCCAAATCCTTTTTGGACAGTCGAGTGAGACAGGTTCAGCTTGTCCGTATATTCGGACAATATAAACAATGAAGCCAGTGTCCTCTCCAATGCATGATGCAGGCACACAATCTTGCACGATCACTTTCTTGATTCATATTAAGTGTACTAAGTAGATCTAGGCCAGGCGAACACAACCGGAGAAGAACAGCCGGCGCTGAAGAACAAGGCTACTGAATCAATGATGCCCTCCCTGGATTCATGCAACGCATGGCAGCAAAACAGCTAAACATAGCTAAACTGAACTGTACTGTACAGATCACTGATCCACATTGACAAAAGAACAGCCTACATCGCAACATGAACATTCTGGCAATGTGCAGAATCCACTCTACCGTTAACTGCTGATGCAGCTTGCCCAGCAATGATCTTGTACCTCGACAACAAAATCGCGAACACATCTTGATGCATGACAAAGAAGTGCCAATGTGTTGATGGTTGCACTTCAAGTTATCATTCAAAAAGGCGTGTCTTCAACAACCTGTGCAACGGGGCACCTGTGCGCTGGGGGCCCCTGCAGTCGAAGCCACATCAGCGAGAGGATGCAGGCAAAGCCGCCTTGCTGCGTGGCCTTGAGAGGCTTCGCAAGAAGGACCTGCGCCGCACTTGACTCAGGCGGTTCAGGAAGATTGATACATGAGGGTCATGAGATGTCATAAGTAATGAGTGCTTCTTGGAGCCCAAGAATGAAACCACTTCACTTTTTCTTTCACGTTCTTTCTCGATTTCGTGTGGTCTCCCATTTTTCTATTGGCACAGTGGTGATGTGTGAGGTCGTCAGGTGCAGTGGACCTGAAGGTGCCTGTAAACATGAGTCTACTGTCTACTGTCCTCAACATTCCTACGTCATTTCTATAGAAGTCTTTGCCAATAGTGCACAGGCTTCACGGTGGAGATGCTGCCGCTACCATTTTGGTGCAGGGCAGCACCATGCAGCACCAATGACGCTGACCCCCCCCCAGTGTCAGCTTCTTCCCCAAACACACTAGGGGGCAACAACACCAGCATTTGGTATTTGATGGGCATTTACAGTACATGACAATGCGGATCTTTTGCGAGAACGCCTGCGCATTGCATCACTGCGTAATGCAGGTTCTAGCCACCTACTCCCATGCTTGCCTTAATTTTTCGATCAAACTTGTTACTAATTCCCACAAGCAGCGCAAGTCCCACCCAAAAGTAGCGCACATCTCTCCCGCGAGTTCAGTGTGAGTTTGAAAGCATCGTCTTCACCCAGGAACAATCCAGCAGGATCCCACAGAAAGTCGGTGATCATACCGAGGGTTCGCACCAGAACCCACCCCGACCCCACCCGGTAGCTGCAGCATCAAACAGCTATCCTTTCACTGTCCCATGGCATAATTTCGATAATTTCTCTGCGAGCACATGTCATCTTCACACTCAACTTCTTACAAGTTGCAGTATATGAAGAAATGTAACAATGCAGCGCAACCAATAACCAGCGTGCTTGGGTGTGTTGCAACAAGGAAGCCCTAGGCCCTAAACATTGAAAAACAGCGATGCACTTGTTACTAATGTGATGTGATGAAACCGAAAACACCGAAAACCCACACCAAAAAACATAACCTTCACATCATTTCACATCCTGTCGCGGCCCTGTCTGGGCCCCCACCACAGCCCCGTGTGCCTTAGCTGCTTTTGCCCCAGCTCGTCAGGTGAGGCCTTAGGCCTCCGGTTGCAGTCTTCGGGTCTCGTTTTTCTTGTCAGCCAATATGTGCAGGGCTGGGAAAGTCATGTGGCACACCAGCACCCATTTCAGCAACCATTGACCAACGTGTTGTAGAACCATAGCCTCCACCTGGAAGTGAACCTAAAGCCTCTGTTGTTAAAGCCTCGATGCCTTCCATGAGTCCTCATTCAAGGGCGATCATCCAAGCCTAACATAGCCCAAGAATCTCGCTCGGTTCGAGGACTCTTGTGACCGAAACGGACCGAATCGGGTTTCGCCACGGCACTGAGGACTTGGGCTTTTGGCAGGCGTCCTCGACCTTGGCGCCGAAGTCGCAGGACTGGCTGAGGATGCTCAACTCAAGAATGTGCAATTGGTGGCTTCGGGAAGGTTTTTATATAGGTACGATTCTTTCTTAACTCCCAAGATCGTGGCACCAAACATACTGAAGCACAAGCTGAAACAGTACTTGAGTGCTTGATTGATTGGACAAAGATTGGTTGAAACAAGGCCAGCATTTCCTTGTGCGGTCATTCTCTGACAGTTTCTGGTACCTCATGCTTTCTCACATCGGGCCCTAGCAGCCCCAACTCTTTGGCACACTACCAGGATGTTCTGTCAAGACATGGCTCCACATCCCGCCACACTGGGTGCTGACCTCTTCTTCCCCCCCCCGCGCCCCACTCGCTCTTCCTGGCCGAAACACAGTCCACGACTCGCCTTGGACCTGGTACCTGCGCCTTGAGCGCTGGCGCCTGGGCCTTGAGCCAGCGGCTGTTGAGGTTCCGGTCCCATCTTGGGTGAAGCCTCCGGGCTGGCCGATGGACGAAAAAAGACACGGAGCGAGCTAGGAAAACCATCAAATTCAGTGGACTTCCTTCAAACTTTGCTGAACAAAAAGTTCGGCCGAAGCACAGATCATGCAAACTCTACCAATAGAACCTTGTGTGATAGCGCAGCAAATGTCGGTTGCAGCAATGGGCAGAAGTGACTGTGCCAATGATTCGTGTTCCCCACCCTGTCCAGTACCTGCAGCGTTCATCCCACCCATGACAATAGCAATCCCCTTCATTGTTGGGTTGGATGCTTTTAGATGCATTTTATAAACTTTGGGCCCTATAAAATGAATGCCTGGAGAGGGTGGATTTCCTATAAAATGCCAAACTGAGCAAAATGCATCTAAACTATAAAATGGGGTAAGTGGATTCTGAGCACTCAACACTAAAAATAGCAAAACAACAGCAGGCCTATAACATGCCCATGATGGGCTCACCATAGAAAATATATCAAACAGTTCACGGGCCTCGCAACATCGCAGAACTTTGTCAAAAACGCTTTGTAATTGGATGTGATCAGCTGGAATTAACCTGCTGGCGCCTGTTCTTGCACATTGGTAGTATATAAAATGCCTCTGGTGGGTGCCTGCTGGCGTTAGGGCCCTTGCACCTGCCCCCCACATTCTATAGACTAGCTGGCTTTGTAATTATATATATATATAGCTGGAAGCCGTCCCACAGTCACAGGCTTTCTGGCAAGTCAATACCTGAGAGTCCTTTAGAGACCTATCCTCTAAGTGGGGGCCTCTGGCCCTGCTTGTCCATAAAATGGGGGAGGGCAGGTGCAAGGGCACTGCCTACAGCCACCCACCAGGTGCATTTTGTATACTACCATTGTGCCAGGTACTGTACGCCTGGATGGCCGGTGTCTACACGCCAAAGGCCCTTTTAGTTGGACAATGTATGAACATGTCAAAGAACGTTGACAAAATTTGAGTAGTTTATAAGATGCCCTTGTTGGGTCCTGCACTCATCTAACAGAAAGAACCCAGTTGCCTATAAAAGGCCCTGACCAGGTCTCTGCACTCAATTTAAGAAAAAATGCAATCCTCCTATAAAATGCCCCCTTGACCCTGGCCCTAACAGCCTCAAAATCATTAAAGTTTACAAAATGCTAAAGTGGACCTCGTACCTCCAAACCCTCAAAAAAGCACCAAGATTCAGGCTGTGTGCCACCCATGTTGCCTATAAAATGAGGGTCAAATTTGGCATAGTATAGGGCAAAAGCATTGGCATTTCATAGGCGAACACCGGTGGGGGATACAATAGCAAATAAACAAGCGTTTCTACAAGAACAAACGCCTTCACGAGAAGCCATGACTGGCCACGATGACTGCACCTATGACCAGCCACAATCACAGCCCACAATGGCAATATCGATCACACTCACCATCAACAGCAAGAAGCAATGCAAGTCAAACATGTTAACGGCAAAAATCATAGTGGCATGTAGTGGCAGCATCAAATGCAACAGTTCAAAGGAGCTCTCCAAAAGCCAGAACCCGCCAGAACCCCAAAGCCCAAGCTGTCCGGGTTTGGGTGCCTCCTTCATTTCGCAGCCCTCGATACTTGAAACCTCCCGCCTTGGAGTGGCTCAGCTTTGGAGCCTGCTTCGCCTGGATGGGCAGCCGGGGTTCCGACCTCGGAGTTCCACTGACTCGATCAGAAGTGGGTTTCGGTTCTACATGTCAAAAGGGATGAAGCCCTTTTAGAAGGGTGATCATAGGGTTTTCATGGGTTTTCTGGATCAAAAGTTGTCGACTAAGGTGAGGTGAGGGGTCAATTAGATCCAGATCACGCTCTCACCGATGTTACTTCAATGACCTCACCTACAGCTCTGGGGTTACATGGCGGCCATTACCATGTTTCTCAATTCTCAGAAACCCCCACCTGCCAATTTGGCAGTATGCTGGGTCCCCAGTGTAAACCCCAACATCCTTTGTCTGCACTGGGTCCGCACTATGTCAAAATGTCATCATCAACGGGATGCATGTCAATCATTCCATAATGAATCAATTGAACGTCTGGAAATGTCTGGTAAGAACGAGTCCTCCTTTCCATCTGTTTTTCTTTCGACGGTTCCTTTTCGCTGCATCATTCGCATTCTGCACGCCAAGTGGCTTGGTTGGAATTGATCTCTTCAATGGTTTCTGTGTACTCTGGGCAGTGGCTCGGTCGATCAGCTCCAGACTCTCCCAGGTCAGTCCTGCTGAGTCGACCTCGGTGACCGGAGACGGTCGCTGCTGCTCCGCCTGATGCGCCTGCTGCGCCTGCTGCGCTTGCTCTGGATCCTCTGGACCCAGCCGGTTCGGCAGCAGCTTCACTAAGTCTTCCAGGTTCTCCGGGAAGGCGATGGCCTCTTCATCCTCATGGCCTCCGACCCAGGCAGACTCGGAGGACAGGGCATGCTCCCCCTGAGTCACAGTGGATCCAACTGAAATTGTAGGAGGAGACATGGGGTCTGGTGGGGGACGTGATTCTTCCCATCCAGCAGGTGGAACGATGGAGGCTGGGTCTTGCAGCCCATCTGCGGCGGCATCTGCCCCAACCACACGCGACAAGGCGGTGCGAACTTTCTCAAAAAGCTCACCCTCCTCGGGCTCATCGAGCAGCACCTTGGCCGTGGACTCTGTTGCAATGCTGCCACTTCCCCAGCCACTACCGGGTGCGGGAGGCGCCTCTGTTGCATTCAAGTCCACACTTTCAGCATCGAGCGCTTCGACGGGACTTGCTTGCCACTCTGTGGTCTCTTCAGATTCTTCGGGTGCCACCTCCGCATCGATCTCTGACGTCTGCTCCACCGCTCGCTCTGGCATGATGAGGCCGGTCGCCTCCTGAATCGCCGCCACCGGTCGCAAGCCGGGCTCCGACGCCAGGGGCGAAGGACGCGACGGTGGCCGCGGCGAGGTCTGCGGTGAGATCTCGGGCGCTGGCGGCCCCTGGTTTAGTTGCGAGCTCCTAGGTTGGAGGCCATCGCCATCAGGTTGGAGGCCATCACGCCCCTGGCTTAGTTGTGAGGTTGGAGCAGCCAATTGCTCCGAAAGCCGCTGGATGGTGCTGGCGAGCTCCTGGGCCTCGCGGTGTCTTTGCTCCAGTTCATGGTTCCAGCGGCTGCATTCCTCCGCGAAGGTCGATGTTCGTCTCCAAAGGGTGTTCAACATCTCTCCCATGTGCTCCTTGGCCATATTGGGATGCACACTTTGTGTCAAGGACTCCCTGATGGGTGTGGAGAACTGCGAGATGGAGGAGTCCTTCCAATTCTCATTCCCCGGCCGGACCCGCTCTTGGGGAAGTGGTGCTGGTGCGTAAACAGGGACCGCTCCTGGTACTTGGAGTGGTACACATGGGCGAAAGGGCATGACTGGGTTGTCCCCGTAAGGAGTCGGTGAAGCAGATCGTACCGGTGATGGTGACAGGGCCATTCGCCTTGGTCTCAGGTCTCTGGGTTGTGAGTCGGCATGCCCCTGGTGCCAAGTCACACTGCCCGGTGTTGCAAAGTCACGCTGGCTTGCACGGCTTGGTGTTGAGATGTGGGGCATCGGGATGCTCATGTTTGGGGGTGCCTGCATTCGGTTTGTCGCCTGAGTCGTTTGGGCCAATGGCACCACACTTGGCATCATCGGCCTGGTTTCCGGCTGTGGAGACTGGGGAGGCTGAGCCAAATACGTTCTCAAGGGCTGCAATGGTATCGTTGAAGGTGCTTCCGAAAGGGCCGTTTGTGTCTGATTAACCTCAAAGACAGGAAGCAGTGATATTGCTCAAGTTTGTGCACGCCAAGCTGTCCTGTTCTATCCTTTGCATTTGCAATTGAATGCGTTTGATGGAAACACAACAAAGGATTGAACGTGGCTGCCCAGATCTAGGCCCTACTCATACGAGTGCAAACATAATTTCCCGGAATCAACTTTGGCACCGTGGTAAGAAGTGAGGGCCGAAAAGCACCTGAGCTTGGGACAACATGATACCTTCCACCCGCAGGCAAAGGCGACACGGAGCGCCGCACTGGCGAAGGCGAAATGGAGCGTGGTGGTGCTGCTGCTGCTGCTGCTGTATGCAGCGGGAATGGCGATGGTGGCCTGTCATGTGGCTTGAAGTTTCATCGCCATGTGAGGATATGTGAGGATTCGGACCCACCTCTCTCCCTCTGTCACGTCACTGTGACAGGACACGCTTTTGGATCGGTCATCCGTCTCGGCCACTTCCCACCTCAGAATCCTGGGTGATGGAATGAACCTCCGGGCGGGGCGAATTGCCAAACAGAAGCCAACCACACAAAAAGTCCTGCAGTTCAAGCATTCGTGAGACTGGCCAATGATTTCAAACAGTCTGTTCTTTGCGTTTGTTTGTTGAATTGCTTGCGCTACCACATCTACCACATGCCCAGGAAGTTGCATGGACACTAGATATAAATGAACACACCGCACGCAACAAAAGGCACAAGCAAGCTAACAAATCGACGCAACCAACCACAATCCCCAACACCCCAATGTAGAACCCCCAATGAATTACCTGTCTGTGTGTGCGGGGAGGTGGTCAGCGCTGTGTGGGTGGGGGGTCTGAAAAAACCTGTCAACTCCTCACCTTGGTGGATCTACCGATGGGATCTGCTTTGCTGCCAGCAGGTAGGTCTGCAGTAGCCTCAAGTGATACAGTTTTCTGTAGGCCCGGACAACACCATCCATGTTGCGATCATGTTTTCTAATGGTTGTGACAGATATGCCCGCAGCAGAACTGACATGTTTTGAGAAATCCAGAAACAAGAACTATATACTGCAATTCACTGTCTGGTCTGTGATTCCAAGATGCTGGTCGGTGTCCTTGGGCTGCGGGAGATCACCAGTCTGCTGCTGAAAAATGCGCCGCCCTTGTTGGAAGGCATGCTCCATGGCAACAACCCTTGTATGAATGGCACAAAGGCGCCCCCCCACGGTGAATGCTATAGTTTAATGTGCAGTAGACACATCCAGTATCTTACGTCTTACGTTTGAGGTATGAATTGCCACCCGATCCACTATATCTTAAGGGATGAGACTCATCTTATCTTGATCATGCCATGCTATGCTGCAGGCTACATAATTCTGACTCTGTGCTTGATTCGCGCACATAGACATGCACGTTACGGCCGGTTGAAGGGAACACCTGCAAGTAACTAAGAACAGCGCTCTTCTGCATTTACATCGTAGTGCCCACAGGTGCCACAGGCAGCATCTACTAACCACTTCCCATGTGGCTACCACCGGCCGTTTTCACAAAAAGGATCAAACAGGATTTCGAACAAACGCCACCTAACAGCGCCATCTGTCTGCGGCCACCATCTGTCGGGTCACGGGGAGCGGTCGACGTCTCTCGCGCTCGACGGGCCTTGTCTGCAACGTCACTGCTGACGGCTCCCTTGATGTAGGCACGGATGGCCGCCTTTTAAGCCCAGTCTCTGGGGTGTGCTTTCCAAATTTTAATACCACACTGTGACTGGGGGTATGAGCAAAAAAACATGGCGCGAACCGTGCGTTCCCTCAGCTGGCCACTCCGCATGACTCAGATCTACCAGGCTGGTACCCTAAAAAGATCCTGGAAGATAATACCTGGATCTTCCAACTATGCCAAATGTATGCCTCTTGCCTGATGTTTAATATGGATGAAAAGGTCACAGATGGAAGATCCAGGTACAAACAATTGAAACGTAAACACCTGCTGCGCCGGGCTGCGCCTGCGTCTCTTCCGCCTGTTCGGGAGTCGCCACCTTGCCCGTGCCAATGGCCCAAACTGGCCTGAGAAATCTGGATCAGTTTGGCCTGGGGAATGATGGGCCAAGGTGGGTGTCCGAAAACTGTGCATGAGAGGAGTGTTACACCATGCACCATGTATCAGGTGCAAATGTTTTACTTTTATATATATATATATATTTTTTTGTTAATGCTGCTACAAGTGATTTGACCTATCAACATCAAGCAATCTTTGGCAAAGGATAATCCAAAAATTCCTCCACACCTGGTCAAGGTATTGACCCAACACCTACCGTCTCCGATCAGTGCACCCCGCGCTGGCACCCAGGTCTTGGACCCCCAAACTGTTTGTCATCCCCCAGTCCCCACGGTCAACAGACACTGGGTTGTCTGCTCATACGCAAGCACGATCTTGCTCCAGTCCTGGGAAGCGAAGGTGGAGAGTTTCCAAGGCTCGGAGGCCCGACCCATGGGATGTGAGGAGGCAGAATGGAGAAAACGGACTGATCCATCTAATTTGGATGGAGAGTGGAAGATGGCACAGACCCCAATGTCGGTGGTTTATACGAACCCCCATGTAAAGGACATCTTGAGGTCAGTGCCATCTACTCTGAAACCACTGCAGTTGGTGCGCCAGGCTGGCAGGACCCCGAAATCATGCTTCATGACACGATTGGGAGCCGCAATCAGGTCCCCAAAATAGAGCTCCTTGACTTTTGGAATCACCGCAGCCAGCTGCCGCTTGTTCACCTCGTCCGTCTTTCCTCCCTCACCTGGCCGAGGGGAGGGAAGTATTGTGGGTGGCTGAGGAGAACTCGTGGAGACATGAGATTGCTGTTGCTGCTGTTCTTGCTCCTGCATTTCTACTTCTTCTACTTCTTCTTCTGTGGGGGCAGGAGCAGGAGCAATGGCTAGAATGAACTCAAGCAGTAGTATATAGCAGTAGTAGTTCGGATTCTAGTTGTTGATGTCAGTTCGTTGGGTAAGTTGGATACGATTCAAGCTTGGTTCTACGGTTCTAAGACAAATATTAACAACATAAGTTTGTCCTCGATGTTCGGGATGCGCTGTGGAACATCACAAAGGAGCCAAGTGACATCAAAATTAGCGCTTGTATCAACTTGAGGACACGGTCTTCCTTTTGTCCTGGCTGAGCCCTGAAATGCATGTCCGGTTCAGCTCAATCAGGGGTACACTAAAAGTGACAGACGCCACTCACACCTTTTTCCTTCTACGCTTGGGCCTTGACAGGCTTCCAACGACACTTACCCCCTTTCCGCAGTTTCGCGGTCCTGGAGGATTCGCTGCCTGTACTTCTTCTTTCGAGCGGCAGCATCCTCTCTCAACGCCTTTGCTTCCGGCGTGTCTCTCAGAGACCATTGGTTCTCCGAAACCGCTGCCATCAGCCGGCCGTTGCCCATGAGCTTCGTCAAGTCATCGGCCACATGGTCGTGGCCAGGCACCCATCTCACAAGGCGGTTTCCGCCGTCTTCGAACAGAGCCTGCTTCATAGCCGCTATGTCTATGGCCAAGCGGCGGTCCTCACCGTGTCCAGCTCCATTCAAGAGGTCATACCCCCGTGCGACTGTCGAGCACCGTGACAAGGCGCCAGTGTGCAACATGGGTCAACCACTGGTCGATGTCGAAGGCGACATACAAAGCTTCGGCCATGACCGCTCGCAGGAAATCTGCCTGGTCCAATGCTTCAGCTGCTTGGCTGATCTCGGCAGCAAGGCTCGAACGAACCACTCTCTTGAGGAGAGCCGACTGGAACGAGATCGGCACCGCTCCCGACCGGCCTTCCAGCAAACCAGGGTGAGCTATGAGACAAACTGTCCCTCCTTGGCTGCGTCCTCGTGGCATCCCCCCAAAACTGGCGTCGGAGGCCGCCACGACCAACCATTGACTCGGAGAGCATCCCAGCGGCATGAACCTCATGGTCTTCACATCCGTGGCCCGCTCCACCAAAACATAGAGCTCTTCCAATGCCGCCGGATCCCCCACACCTGCCAGCTGTTGCGCTCGGGAAACTCCAAACAGCAAATCTCCTCGACATTGACGTGCCAGCCATGAAAGCTGTCCACAAACATGGCCCACCCATTTGCGCTCCGTCATGGTGAGCTCAGTGCCGTCCCGCTCAAGGTCACTTCTTTTCGTTCTCTTTGGAGGGAATTGAAGCTTCTCGCAGTATTCGTCCATCTGCACCTCGATGGTCCCGTCAGGAAGTTGCCGCTCATAACGTCCACAAAACTTGGCCCACTGCTCTGCCACATTGCGCCACTCACCGAAGGTGAACTCCGACTTGATGGCTTCCCAAACAGGCTTGGCCTTCTCCGGGTGTCCAACCAGTCTGATGTCGTCCACATGGCATGCTATCATGGCAACAATCTCGCCCTGCAGGAAGACTGAGAACACTCCGGGGATCAACAGCCATTCTTTGGCACCCAAGGCAATCAAGGTCTTTTGCAGAAGACGAGGTGATTCTGCCAACCCAAAACCCCCTTTGGTAAAGCGAACCAAGTCATGGCGAGCTCCAGAAGGCAACTTGGAAGCAAGGAACTGTTGCACGAAGTCCGGATAGCCACGGGGCAGGGACACCAGGACCTTGCGGTCGGGATGCAGGTTCTCGCCTTGCAAGAATGCAGCTGTGATGTCTCCAAAGAACATAGTCCAACCGAACTGAGCCGCAAAGAAACACAAGAGATTGTGCGCCACCAGAGAAGCTGTTGGAGCTTCTGTCTCCCACATGCCGGCCTCCTTGTCGCGATGTCCCGAGACCACCCACCGAGCTTTCAGCCGAGCATCTTCTAGTTGTTCATCCAAGGGGCTCACATTACGGGGCTCGGACTTGTTCACCAAGACGAACCGAGAAGGCAGGATGTTGCCGTGGTCGATGTTCTCCTCCACCATCACCGGGGCCACGGCGTCGTACTTAAAGTACACATCCAAGGCATCCTTGATGGGCTCCTCAAAGGCACTTTTCCATGCCGGTGACAAACTGCCCCACTTCAGCTCCAATCGGACCTTGCCCGTCGGCAAATCCTGGATGTCTGCTTGTGTCTCGATGTAGCACTGGTGCGGCCTCATCGGTTGCGGCTTCACCAAACGCTTCATCACCGGGAAGTTGCCCATCAGGTCGGCCACGTCGGTCTGCACCATGAAGGCGTCGTTCCAGCTAGCCTGGTAATTGCCCTTATCCGGAAATAGACGCTCATCATTTGTTGAGCTGCCCGCCACAATTCTTCCATCTGTGCTCTGGCATTCAACCATGTGTTCAGGTCCGAGATCTCCGGCGGCCGACGAATCCAAAATCGAGTGAACCCTCGCCACTTTCGGCCATCTCCAGTGCGCATCTCCGCATCCGCATTGCAGCCCTGCCACCGGAAGTTGTCGACCACCACCACCTCATGGTCGTCCTCAAAGTATATCCAAGTGACTCGAGGTCCGACAAACCATGTGTGGCTTGATGGAAGATGGCCAGGTTGGTTCTCGAGGTACAAAGATTCGGTCCCGAGGACACTGGTGGACCCGCCAAAGCTCTTCGATGTCCGGGTCATAGATCCATGAGTCTTGATCAGGCCATTCCGAACGTGCCCTCATCAATGATCTCATTTGGGCTTCCGAAATAGGTTGCGTGAGGGCAGGTGGCATTTCCGGCAGTCTATCCACATGACGTGGCACATGCACATGTGGCACCGGTGTATTCGGCCAAGGCTGTTCCCAGGTGCCTCTGGTATATGCCACCTCATGCTCTGCCTGGTCAACGACAGGGTTGTGGAAGCCGACAAAATGTCTCGGAGGCATCAAGTCCACCATTCCCGGAGCAGGGATCCACGGACTTGGGAAATCCCGTCGGGGATCGAGGTCGTTTGCAGCCTGGTTCATGATGGCATTGTCATCATCATCATGCCAAACCGTCTCCAGCGGGGACTGAAGTGGTACCACCACGTAGGAGTCGAAGAGGGGCCTCACTCCTTCCACCAGCATGGCCGTCCTTGGGGCCTTCGATCCCTTCGGATTGGCATCTCCCTTCTTTCTCCTGTCCGGCTTCGAAGCTGATGCCCTCGAAGTCTCCACTGCCCTATAGGACCACTGGCTGCCGAACCCGCTGCCGCAGAGCCTGTTGTCGATGTTTCCGGAGGCGAACTCGGTGAACCTGACTTCCCTTCCAGTTTCTTCTTCATCTCCTGAAGGTGATGCCGAGTCCGCTGAGTGGCCTGATCCAGTGACATCTTGGGTTCAAAGACTTGTTGCCTCTTGGGAAACGGCCACAAGGCCGGGTCGTCCTCGATAGCTTTCTTGTGGAGCGACATAGGCACGTCGTCCAAGGCCGAAGCAGCGCGTCCTCCTTCATTGTCATCCACATGTCGCGGCTCTTCATCGTCTGAGAACTCCATAACCGGGTAGTTCTTGTCGGTGACCTGCGGGACGTCCGGAGTGATGCGTGCCTTCTGCCGGCCCTCCTTCAGTTCCTTCTCAATGTCCTCGAAGGCCTCGATGGCGATGTTCTGGGCTTCCATCTCCTCGGCAACCGCCAGTCTCACAAACTCCAGGGGCAATCCTTTGAGTTTATTCCTGTAGCACACCCAGACACTTGGAGGAGATCATGTGTTGCTCTGTGTCAATCATGAACCCAAGCCGTGAACATACTGACTTGCTCAACAACGGTGGGCAGTTTCCGGACACCACTGAGATCCGCAGCATGCAGTGCAATGACGCAAGTGCGACTTCCACAACCACCCCATACTGACTCTTGGAAATGTGTCCATCCCCGAAACGAAACGATTCCGCTTCCTTGACCACCTTAATGAAACGACCTTGACCTTCGAGTTCACGCACCAGAGCATTGACCCACGTCGTTCCGGCCACCGTTCTCATGCAACCCAGGTCAACAATGATTTTGCTTCCCAGTTCATCCATAGTCCAGTACAGGTCGTGTGGGGCCGCTGGTAATGGTGGTTTGCCAGAAGGTTGCATGAGACCGGTCTCCCTGTGCACCATATATACTCGATGCTCAAAGTCTCGTGCCGGCTTCTGGGCATAGCTTGCTAGCAAATCCCATTCATCAGCGACCACCCGTTTGGGGTTTCGCTCTTCAAAAGCCACATTGGCTGAGTACACCACGTTGGAGGCGTGAATTGGAGTCTTCTTCCGAAGTGGGCATTCTTGTGACCAATGGCCCAACTTCCCACACAGGAAACAAGGACCAGGATCAGTCTCTTGCTGTTTCTTCACCCATTGCTTCACATGTTCCGGCTGCTGTCCGCCAGCCTTGTCCTTGGTGAAGTATTGGCGCATCTTGCGAAGCTCACGCACCTTGTATTCCTGGGCGTAGATCTCCAGCAACGGGGTGTCTCCCGTCTCCGACGCCGCAGAACTCCCGGAAGTTGTCTCCAGATTCTCATCGTCTTCATCGAGGCTGTCATCACCCGGGTCTTGGTTGTGAAGCGCTGCAAAGATCTCCTCAGCCTCAGGATTGGTGTCCTCTGGGTCTTCACCTTCCATGATTGCCACCAAGGCTTCACGGAATCTTCTGCGATTGAGAAAGCGTCTCTTCCGTGGGGGTCCTGTTGTTGAAGGTGAGCCTGCTGGCACCACGGGTCCAGAAGACGAAGAAGTGACCCCACCCCCCTTTTGGACGAGGTACTTGTCCTCATTGTCCAACATGGCCTCTCCCTTGCCGATGGGAAAGTGCGGAAGGCCTTCCAACTGCTCGGCCAAGTCGAGGAGCGCCAAGGTCACCGGCTCCTCGTGCTCCAAGCTCCCACCAGCGGCCGCCTTAATTAAAGCCAAGTCACGTTTAGTGAGCTTTGCCGCATCCAACAAGTGGCCAATGTAGAACTTGGAGCCGACCGTGTAATCGGGGGAGGACTGGTTCTCCCGCCGGTAAATCTCCGCCCGATTCAGGAAGGATTCGATGGATTCGCCTGCTAGGCGCCCCAACCGCATGAACTTCTGTCTGCGTTTGTCCACTTTCTTGGTATCCAAAATCTTGATGATTGGGCTCTTTTCCATAGTTTGGCGGATGATGTTGATGCCTCCTTCAGCTGCTACCTCCTGCACCGTCAAGTGCTGCACGATCTTGCCTGCACGTTCGCGCAGCTGTTGCATCAACCTGGGACCTTGTACTTCTGGTGGTAGGGACTTGCCTTCCGATGCCAACCAGAATTCCACCGTCCGCCAATACTCCTGCCATGATTCTCCTGGACGAGCATAGAAGATGGGTGGGTACGAGGAAGACAGTTTGCTATTGGCATGCCCTCCATGACCCGCTGTCCCACCACCGATCGGAGCCGATCCAGTGCCCGATCCGCCCGCCACCGACGGGTGTCCACTAGGTACTTGTCCCGTCGGTCGGTTCACCGCATCCCTCATGCGGATCGTTGGCGCCGCAGATAGAGGAGACATGCCATGCCCCCCGCTGCCATCACCATGCCCGTCCCCTCCGAGAACTCCTGCTTCATCTTGATGACCTTCGTCTGAATCGTCCCCATGACGTTCTCCCGAAGGTCCTTGAACCTGTCCAGCCGCAGGAGTAGGGCTCGAAGTCGAAAAAACTGGTTGCTGAGCTCGTTCATCGCGTTCGCCACTGCCGGATGACTGCACTGACCAGTTGGTCCTACGACCGCCACTCCATGACCAGGTCGACCAATGATCATCTTCTCCCCAACTATTAGATATCATCCTTCCAGTGGCCATCCCCAGACACATAACCCCAGTCATGCCACTCGCGATGATCAGAGTTCCAGGAACCAGCCGACCACGAAGCCACACTTGAGCGATCCGACGAAGTCCTTGAAGACCCGTGCCATCCATCCACACCTTCACTACTAGCCTCCTCCCAGTTCTCCCAGATGCGGCCTGGGGCCAGCCTCGACCGTAGCGGCCAGTGCAGCTCGTTGATGATCTTGAAGAAGTCTCTCCTCTTGTCCTGAACTGGACTCTTCATTTCGTGCTGCCGCCGATGTAGTCCCCTCCTGGAAGGTCACCGTCCGACGCCTGACGAAAGGTGTCGGGATGTCGTCAGGCATCGGCGCTTCTTCGCCGGCTCGCTCCACCATGGCCCTAAGCGCAAAAGGATCCGGCTCAAGCCAGGATCAAACCTACAGCCCCCTATCGGGGCTCCGCTACCACTAAAAGTGACAGACGCCACTCACACCTTTTTCCTTCTACGCTTGGGCCTTGACAGGCTTCCAACGACAGGTACCATGCACACAGCATAAATGGCTAACCTCAACATGTTCTGAGAGCCACACGTTCCTCAAGAGTCTCACCGATGCACAAAATCACGTTGACCCCGATCTCTTGGCACTTTGCCACCTGAAACAAGAACTTCCGATCGAATCACGTTGACCCCACCTCCGCAGGCAGCATCCATCGTTTATGACTACTAGCGGTGACCTCCACCCTACTAGCGATGGAGCGGTTCCATTCCTCTGCAAGTCCTTTTGGCGATTTGGCTGGGAGTCCTGGTCACAAGGTCTTCTCCCGCCTTCTCTGCCACATCTGCATCTGTCTCCCCATACTTCGTTCGTCGCTCAGAATGGCCGATGAGGGTCCACTTGATGTTCTGGCGCGCCCGACGCACGATCCCATGCGACCGCAGACGATCAATCCAGGAACGGAGTAAAGCCCCATGCGGCCGCCAGAATAGACACATTTCCCATACCCCACTGAAACTACCCCTTGACGGTGCAAAGTATTTCAAGTGCCTTGCCACATCACGCAATGTCCCAAGATCCTGCAGTGATCCTGCAGTCGCCCTCTAAGCACCATACCAAATCCAACAGGTTTGCAGCGGTCCATTCACCTGAAAAAGCGTGGCACGATCCGTTCGTACCCTGGTCAGACTGTGGGCCCTGGTGTTTGTCATGCCGCTTGCGACACATTCCGCCAAGTTGACGGGGGTTGTGTGGAGATACATGAACTCATAATCCCAGTGATGAAGTTGCCATGAACTAACTTCTCTGGCTATGGAGCAGTTTCAAGGTCACGATAAAGGTCAAGACTCTCAACCATCTGTCTATATTTGAGCTGATGACTTGTGCAAGTGCAAGTTCCAAGGTTTTATCCAACCTGGCATGACGCGAATTTGCGCCGCCTGTAAATGCACCAGCATCATTCTTGCCCACATTCTGCGCACAAGTCTGCATCCCCAAGGCCTCCGTCACATGCAAAGCTCGCCAGTGGGACCAAACACTGGATATTGTAGTGTTATGTAGCACGTGTTTATACAAATGCACACCGCAATATTGTATACATAAACATGTTCATTGTGACGTTTTGTTAGAAATGGTTGGACCATGTTTCACCACCGCATGAAACCACGAATCCAACTCCTATGTCCCGTGATCTCTTCTTTTTGATTGGCCAATAGTATAGGGCCACGCCAGCCGCCAGCACCAAAAAAATTAAGCAAAAGGGGGGTCACAACTGCGGGGCGGAACAAAGGCGGGCAACGTGCAGCGAGACAGCAGCAGTTGCAAACGTTCCTTTCTTGAGAGAGATTCCGCAAAGGTGAAAGAATGTGAAAGATGTGAAAAACACATTGACATAGCGGTTGGCTCTGGGTGCGACAAGCAAAGTCTGCTCGAACCATGGGTGGCCGGGTCACTTCACAAGCTGCTGGCCGAAAGCGCCGAACCGGTGTGAAGACGTCTTGGCGATGCTCCACATGGACAGCCCAAAAGGAACACAACAAAACCACCAGCACTACAACCACCTGGATAAAGAGGGCGTGCATGAGCTGCAAGGTAACAGCCCAAAGACTCTTTTTCACTCCAGAGTTTGGACAAGGACCAGGCAAGCCAAAGGGGAACTCCGGGACCTGCACTAAAATGAGAACCTTTCTGCACCTTTCTTGTGACAACCTTCCACTTGCCCCAAACATCACACAAAACATTCTCAAACATACAACAGTCGAGTGTTATCTGCGAAGTCAACACCACAAACCTTGCCTCGATGGCTGGACTCAATGTAGTCATCCACAGGGCAGGAGGGCAAATCACTACATCCACTTTGCCTCACCCGGCCCCTTTTTGGGGGAATCGGTGCTGGCGAAAAAGCTTAGTCAAAACATGTTGAAAGTCAGAAATGCCAGGTGAACAGTCCAAACATCTGCCAGAACCTGGTTCATTCTTAGAAGGTGGCAGTGTGGGCAAAAAGCAACTTATGAGTACCAGCAACTCACTCTTCAAGGCGCCCTCAAGAAAAGGCCATTTTATACATCATCCATCTTGGCCAAGTCGCTCTTGTCCACAGATGGAAGGCTCCTTGGCAATGCACTTCACTCAAGTTGCAGGTAGCTATGCCCTACGCGTTCAAACCCTACACTTTGCCTGCAACATGCCTCGTGTTCTTTGTTCTTAAAAACGGTACCTAAGACCGTATTTAACCCGTTCAAGACCCTGTATTTTTGTATAATTGGTTTTAAAATAAACTGACGGCATCCCTCGGGTGCTCCCAAATCCATTCCCGTTTCTGCATGAGAACATCCTGCCATGAACAGTGATTTGATCAAACATGATCCAACGCAGTCTTATTCTGACCCAATGTGCCACATCCAACGGCAGCATCAGAATCACCACTCAATAGATCGGTTTCAATCCCATCGTGCACCCCGGCGTCGGGGTGTTTTGGCGGAGGAAGGTCATACCGTCATAAAGGAGTCATAAAGCTTCTGTATGATCGTAAGCGCACACCAGATTTGAGTCAAGGATCTTTTTCCATTCCTTCAGGAGGGTATTCGCCTCCTTCATCGATGCGGGGTTGCATTTCCAGTTGCCGCCAACAATAAATTTACCTCATCCGGACTGGCAGCGGTTTCATAACTCTCATTGTTGCTGCGGCACTGGTCCGGCAAACTAAGAGATTCTCACACCGGCCTGGTTTCTTCATGTTTCGCACCTGCAAAATCTTCCAGAAACAGCACGCCGTTTCCCGTTGAAACGCGCATGTCATCATGTCATACTGAGTCATACTGTCATTTCGTCGTCACCCGGTCCCGGTCACCCTTCGGTTTGTCGCTGGGAAGCGGTGAAGTTGGGAAAAGTCGCTGGCGACGAAGTCTTTGGGAAGTCGGCGGACAGCATATCACAAATCGATGTGGCAGCAGGCATCAGTAAGATCTTTGAAGGTGTTCAGGGGCCTTCTGAAGGGGCCTTCAATGCTTCAAAGGGGGATTGATCGAGAATCCGAAACACAGTCAACAGTGAATGAAAGTCTTGCCAGAACCTCCTTCTCAGGTGTACCCTCGGACCAGCGTGAAAGAACGGCATCCTGAGTCACATCAAAACGGGCCAAGTGACGCGACATTCGGAGTCAGGGGGGACCAGGCGGAGTCAGTTCCTTTTAAGCGTCAATGACGGCTGAAAAATGGCTGCAGTGGGGCAACCATCCACATCCAACTCAGCAAAACCATCCACAAAATCCAATGTTTTGGAAGGCAATCGTGCGGGGTCACGGGAATCGTTCCACTGCCCAATGAAAACACATAATTGAATTATATTGAACTCATGAACGTCTTTCTACCATAATTAAGTGACCTTGATTCAGACTCTACCATATGTGGTGCTGAAAGCATTTTCCACCTGATCTCGATTTCTTATCGTGAATGTGCCTCCCTGCAAACCAAATTTTCCCGCACGCAGTGTTTCTGTCACGGGATCTTCTTCGGTTCAGCCAAACCTGTCCGAGCAATGTGGCAGATAAATGCAAGTATCTGTAGCTTTACCAATGCTTGGGTATAAATCAGTTCGGAATCGGTTCTTGATGAAGGATGCCTGGGTAGCGCTGAACCCTCACTTGTTTGGGGAGAAAGCATTTGTCACTCAACAATGGCCAATCTTTGCATCCATTCCAGCCCCTTGTTTCCATTCAGAAAATCGTTCTGAGACAAAAGTGACAGCAACGTCCATCCGTAAACATTGCTCTGCTGCCTCCATTGACCGTGCTCTTCACCTCCGATGCACAAGCTCAAATGCACGGTGGATATTTGGACATGGGTCCAATTACAGGCAGCTAACACGATTGCAAATTGCAGTGAAGAACACATTCGGAACCTGTCCTCACGGCACCCTGTAATGGAGACACAGGATTATCATACCCCCGTCAATCAGTTTGGTCCGCCTTGGGTTTTGCAAAGATAGACAGATGCCTTTCAAAAACCTTCTAGCCCATGTTTAAATGTTGACGCAACTGCCCCCAGTAAATTTGTTTGGTCCACCTTTCTTGGGGTCCAATCTCTTGATACCCCCAGTTCAGTTAACATCAGCACCTGGGAGCTGCATCCTTGTAGCTCGAATGGCTTTTCCTTTTTGGCCACCATGCACTGCCATGCACCGCCCTCTTATCCCAATGTTGTAACTTCACTTGCCCCCCACCCTTCTTCCCGTGAAATGACTGATCCTTCGAAGGTTGTCTTTTGACCTTTGGAGGCACCTGACAATCTCATCACCAGTCAGCCCCCTCACCTGACCCCCTCCAACCACCAGCTGACCACTCTGCGCCATATCCTGGATCAAATCCTCATCGGAAATCTCCTTGGTTTTGGTATCTGATGCTCCTTATCCTTCACATACACAAATGCTCTTATACCCGTGTGCCTCTTGGCTGATACTGATGCTGATACCGATAGTGCTCCAACTGACTGATCACCTGATCTTGGCCCATCCCCTGATGGACGTGAATAGAGCTCTCGGAGCAATTGGGCTCCTCATTAATCGCAACTGCCCAGGTGTAATCTGATGCTCGAGGCTCATCCTGCGTCTTTTGCAATGACTCTCCTTCCATATCGTCAGCTTCATCCTTCTCACCGTATTTTCTGTCTGCACCACCCCTAATGCATCTCAATGCTTCCTGGACCCATCTCTGCATAAGAATCTCATTGACTCATTGCTTTTGACCTGGCAGAATCCCAAAGCCGCTCCCAGAAAATCCTGTAAAGCAATCTTTACAACACCCTGCCCGACGTGCGCGCCCTGAGACCTGCGCTCAGTTCTAGTCGCCTGCCATAATCCCTGCCATAATCGGTCCACACTACCCGGTCCTTCATTTGGTCCTGCCGGGTGGAAGGACAACGAACCCCACTGGCCTCTATATAACGAACCCCACTGGCCTCTATATAAAACTCTTTCCAATATGTTCATCCTGTTCTTTTGTTTCTTTCCAACCCTCTCAGCTTCATGCATTGCTCATCCCAATCGAAATCGCTGGATGCAATTGCTGACTCATGCCGCATGTGTGTCAGCTTCATCCAGCTCATCTCCACCCACATCCCTTCCCCCCATCCTTCCCCATTTGCTTCCTCATTTACGTCTCACGCTCATGCAAGTCCTTCTTGAGGTACTTCAATGCTCTGATAGCTCGTAAACTGCATCCTTGAAGCATCAAGCCTCTTTTTGCAGCCAAATATGGGTTCCTGATCGTCCCACATTCCCCACAGTGCTGTTCATATGGCACCTCATGGTATCCCATCCTCGATGGCCTCCAAGTCTTCCCAAGCAAAGATTCCACCTGGTACTGTATCACACGTGACTCATAGCACTACTCATAGCTTTCCCAGGATATTTTGTGTGAATCTCTTCATATGGCCATGCTTATGGCATGCCATGCTCATGCTCCTCATGCTTGCCATCCCTTTGGCATGGTTCCCCACTGTGCTGTTCACATGGCACCTTATTATGATATCACCTTATCCTCCATAGCCGCCAAGTCTTCGCAATCAAAGGTCCCATCATGTTGCACCACACATGACTAGATTCCATTCCCACCGCATCCTCATGCTTATTCTCCTCATCGTGCTCTTCAAAAGGCACCTCCGCCTCCACCTCCTCATTCTAAATGGAAACACCTCACACCTATTCCAGGTAGGAATAGGCTTCCTCATCTTGTGCCACACCATGCTTTCTATGATTCCTATAGGTCTATGAGACCACCTCACCAGCTATGAACCATTAAGATTACCATTTATCTCATCCAATGTGCAGCACTCTCACTGAGATTTAGTCTTGGGACCCCTCCTCACGCAGAGATTTAATGTTGATACTCTATTTGCTCCTCTTGAGTGCCGTTCACCAGCGGTAAGGGGATTGGGCCCACCGGTGCAGCCACTTCGAGAAAGCCGCTTCTGCCCAATCTGCGCACCTTTCTGGAGGCTGTCAAGGCCCGTCGCTTTTTCAGCAGCAGGCAACTGCGCAAGAGCCTTGTCAAAATGGCCGGCCCTCACTTCATTGGTAGCATGCCTCGTACGGTCTGAACCACCCTAAAGCCCGAAAGCCTAAAACCTAAAGCCCTAAACCCGAAAGCAATGTTTGAAAAATGTGATCAAGCACTACAAAATTCGGCTTCCCACAACAGTGTCCAGGCCCCACGAACAGCATCAACAGCATTCAACAGCCACATTTGTGCAAAGGTCTGGGGCGCGATCTCTTCCGCCAGGGCTTCAGTCTGCACACCCTGCCACACATCAAACATCAGCCATGACTATGGTGAGCGCCAGCGCCAGTTGCAAAAGCGAACATATAGTCAAGTCCCAAGCGTGGAGAGAACCTGTTGCTCCCAAGTGATTGGGGATCCTTTGAAGGAAAAACAGGCCGGTTTCCAAGACCCCTAGCCTACCGAAACTTGATCCCCCAGCTCTTGCCCAAAGTTGATCCAGGAACCAAAGAGAGTTACTCAAATCTGAGCACTCGCACCACCACGATGATGAAGTCTGAGCAATGCCCTGTGGCGGTGAAAGTGCTAACACCAGGCTGTATGGATCTGTATGGCCTTTGTTAGCAAACAACCCTCCCACATGCCCCATGACGATGCAAACTACAGATCCTCGCATCGAAACTAGGGCAACCAGTCAAATATCTCAAAGAGTGGAATCCTGCAAACACCATGTCTAGATATATACGTCGTTTTAACTAAAATCTTTCAGATAAAGTCAGTGATTGATACGGCAAAGGGCTGACACGGAACAAGGAAAGAAGAACATCCGGCCATGTCACGAGGGCATGGGCAGACCTGGCTAAACAAGTCAGCCAATATAATGCCGACAAACAACCAACATCAACATATCATAAAGTATACAAACATGTCTAGACTTGCATGCTGGTGTTGAAACAAATCTCGGAATATATATGTGTCATATATCTAATCTCTTCTTTCAAGCTTCAGCCGACTTCCAATTCATCCAACAAGTGCACCTGGATGCTTCTCCTCCTTCTCGCGTGCCTGTCGCAAAGTCGTTTGGTCTTGCACAGCGTGTGACGCTGTGACGCTGTATTTTTCCCAAACCGGGCGCCCCGCCAGGATCTGCACCAAATGGACATAGGGTGGTCGAACACGATCCTGCGTGCATCGATGGACCCAGAAAGGAACTCTGTTGGTTCCAACAGTCGAGGTCCATCATGGCCCTTGCTAAAGCTACTTCTTGCATTCGGTTCTGACGTGTCATCATGGCTAAGCAAAACTTTGGCAATCTGACTCTTTTTGAACGAGGCGCTCGTGCTCCTGAACGCTCCAGTCTAAAGAAACCTTCAAACCACTCCTGGCTTCCACAGTCCTGGCGTGCGGCCATCCTTACAATATGTATGTGTATAGATCTCTCTCTCTCTCTCTCGCTCCCCCTCTCTCTCTCTCTCCCTGTGTTAATATGTATAATATATAGTTATATCATGTTTTCAAGATTTTAGTTGTATAGATTGTCATCCTCAAGGTTCGTCAAGGAAAATTGCTTAGCGGTTGGGTCACATGGGGCATTGCCAACAATACGGCTCTCACTTGCAGTGTAAGAAATTGGTGTCTTCAAAAGGCTGGCAACCCAAGGAATCTGTGAAAGACTGAATACTTGGAATCTGCTTGCACTAAGGTCCAAAAACATCAAGTCCGGACAGGGAGATTCTCCAAAAACCTGTGGCCAGGCTGCCGGGCCTGCACAGCAGTCCAAAGCTGCGGTCCTGTTGCCAGGCATCCAAAGAGATTCGTTGGACCTGTGAACGACTGGACCATCACATCCGATGGAGATCCGTGCAAGCCGCAGCCGCAAAAAGCTCCGGTCTTTTCAAGAAAGGCTTTGCAGGTTGAGGCTTGCAGGACTTCGGTAGTAGAGGATTCCAGAAGAGTACAATGTCCATTGACCGGCCATCGGTTCAAACCATGGCATTTTGCACAAGACGAAACTATATGCACGCATTATGCCATTATGCAAATATCTATAGTATATAGCTCTCAACGAAGGTAAGCGCACTCAAGGTGACGCTTTATTACTCACTGGCGGGCGGTCAGCGGACACGATAGCGGACGGTCAGCATTGTCTGTCGCACTACCCTCAACTGATTCCTGATGCTGGATGCTTTGATCTGTCATTATTGAAAATTGTAATTAGTTCATTGTTGGACAAGAAAGTACCCTTATATTGCCTTCCAGCCAAGTCACTCTCTCTCTCTCTTTCTCTCTCTCTCTCTCTCTCTCGCTCTCGGCTCGTCCCGGAGTCGTCTCACAAACACGCCCAACTGCAACTTCTGGCCGGAGACCACTGTCCCCTTTGACCCGTCCAGAAGAGTGGGGCGAGAGAATGGACGGTGAATCGCCGGTGTCCCTGGCGGGAAGCGTCCCGGCCTTGACCACGTGCGCAGGCTCCAAGCAAAAATCGGGTGCTGGAGAAAGGGAGGCAAAGTCAAAGCCTTCGAGCAGCGCGAGGTGGAAATTGATAGTAATGATGGGCAATCCATTGCCAAAGGCTGTGGCATTGAGGGTTGAAAGGAACATGGACTTGTTGGCCGTCTGTAATTATGTCTTTCTCTCGGTGTGCGTGTGAACTTTAAGCTGCTTTAAAGACTTTGTAATTACCACCCATTCTAATAGCTCTGTGATGCTCTGTGCGTCCAATCCCTGACCACATCAGTCCCCCTCAAAAGATTTCCAACGTGGAGGCCTCTCTCTTCGGAGATGATGAGTCTGTAGGGTAGAAACCTAGGTAGAAAATCAGCAAATGCGCCAAAGTAAGATCGAGAATGACCCTCAGAACTTCCGGGGGGGTTCCTCTGCAATCCAACTCTGTCATGGCCAAGTGCATCGAAGTTGCCCTTCGAGGTCTGTGGAAACCAGTAGGCACACCTACCAATCTTGCTCATGCGGGTTGACGGTTGGCAGCGCCACGATTCTGAGCATTCGGAACTTGGTCCAGTCAAAGTGCCGAGCTCAATTCCAATTGAAACATTGTGTTCTAAACCTTGACACGCCCTTTTCCCTCAGCACAATGGTCAAGGCCCAGCAGTTCGCTCAGATAGAGAACAACAGCGCCTGCACATGCAGTGCTTTGTCAGAAATATCGTACCAGTGAGAGCACGTTTCATGTGTGATATTGAGGCAGGTGGAAAGTTTGACAAACCAACTGATGTTGAAGATTTTGCCACACTTGCTAGCTTCCAGGAACTTGCGCATTGCTGTTTTCCAAGCCCAACTGGATTGGAATGATGCTGTACCCACTCTTGTGGCCACCTGGAGAGGGCCTGTGGACCAGGCTCACCAAGCTTGTGGTTTTCAAACCGGCCCAGGCCAGGCGTCTAAGGTCACCGTCAACAAGTGCTGAAGTACTTTGAGGGAAAAGTTGCTAAGGACTTCAGTTCAAAACCAACGTGTCCGTCATGTACCCCTTACATATGAAGCTGCATGAGCCACCTGTTATTGTGTGATGTAGTGTGCCATGGACCATCAAGATCGGCTTGGCCTTGAAGTCTAGGAGTCCTTCTTCTCAGTCCACACCATCTCCGCCGCTTTCCTGGGCTAAGGGGGGCTATGGATGACAATAGTAGGAAGCAACCAAAGTGACGGACACCATCGATTCCAACCAAGTTCCGAACGCCACTCTCCAAATTCACCCCAATGCCAAGAGAGATCATGCATGCTGCATGGACCCAAATCACCCTACTCTAATTTATCCCCATGTCGCGTCTCAGATGTCATGGATTGATCAAGAGAAACCGGTTCCTCGGGTCCTCGGGGTCTTCGGTGGCTCAGTCCTATTTGGTGGGCTCGCTAGCCAGAAAGGATAGTGAGATGAATCTCCAAAGACTCTTTTGGAGTTCAACCGACAAAACAGAAAACATCATTAGATAATGATCCGACATGTATATATATATATACAGTAGGAATATTAGCATACTACATATAGTATAGTTATGCTTGGGGTCTATCCTGTGAGAGTGGATGACGATGGTTCAGTTGCGGGCCTTGTTCCAAAAGTAGTAACATCATCTAATATCTAATTATAAAATTGTTTAATATTGTTTACTGGCGGTTACAGGTAAGAACGGACAGACCAGACCGTTACGCTTGCCAGTTCATCAGGGGCTTCTGTGCTTCGATCGCCGTACCCACCGAGCTTCTGCGCTTCGCTGGTCTTTTCCAACAGCTGCGCCAAAGCCTCCGATCTTTGGCAAATGGCGCCCGGTGCTGGAGGAAGGAGCTGAAACACAGTGACAAGTCGTTGAAGCCCCGAAACACACGAAGATCCGAAACCTCACCAACTGGGGTTGCATGCTGCTTCAATCGTATGGAAAACGAACACATTCCCAAACTCCAGCCCCTCAAACAGGTGCCTCTCTCTCTCTCTCTTTTTTCTCTCCCCGTCGGAGGTTTTGGCAGCGATCTTGAATCATCTTGAATCACCCAGATTGAACTTGCGTAAACAACCGTCAACCGTTGACCTGATGAATCTGTATTCACGCTTCCTCAAACACAGAGAGATCCATGCGATTGCCGTTCAACCGCCCATGTCTTTTTTATATAAATGATCCAAATCAGTAATTCCCTTCAGCCGAGATAACCATTCCTAAACAACCAATTGGTAAAGCCATGTAAAGCCGTAAAGCCGAAGCGGAATTCGGACACTTCCAAAACAACAGCAAACTCAAGATGAGTAAATAAGAATTGGACCAAGGCATGATGCGGAACATCGGCTTCCCAGCTTCTCACCCGACCAAAAGGAACATTGGTCACGGGCTCAGGCTCTCACATCATAGTGGTCCTGCTTCCACGGTTCTTCCATTCCTGAGAACATCTGAGAACCTGCCCCATTCGGCCGGGCCGGGGCATATCTTGACATATGTTTAATACATACATGGACGTGATGGAGACGCTGGTCCAAGGCACTTCCAGAGTCCTGGACACGGCGGATGAGGTTCATAATCCCAGTGACCTCTTTCGCGTAGATTTTGCCCTCCTTCTTCCTTGGCAACTTCTTATGGACTTCTTGGGTTGGTATATGTATACTGTTCCTGATGGTGCCCCACAGAAATGTTCATGATTGATGGCAAAAGGGCAATGCAGGGATTCTTTCTCACATCCGCAAATCCAAACAAACCCACCCTGGGTCAAGAACATGTTTTTGGTGTGCTTTTGTATGATGAATCATTTGGTTGATGCTACTGTAGAAGCTCTCTTCCTACCATCTGGACCACTGCAATTAACAGTCACCTGATAGTACTCAAATTTCAAGAGCATGTGGTGTCAAACTCCAACCACAATGAAAGCCTTTTGTTCTGCAAGCCCCCTTGCTTCAGACAAATTATATAAGAGATTTGACGCGGAACAGATTCTTTAAATCCAAGCAGCTCTTCCTTTAATGTCTCTTGGGTCTGTGCAGACCATTCTCTCCTCGCTCGTGGTTTGCGGGCCAACGGGCTGTGGGGCCACAAGGTGAGATACATTTGAAGATTCAGTGATTCAGGTCTACGCGCTCCTGGCATCTAAGCAGGATCGCAAAGCCTGCAAAAGGCTTTGCAGCTTCATAGACAGGGCATCATCCTCCTCAGCCGGCAGGCAGCTCGGCCTCGACCTTCTCTCGATCAACTGCAGCAGTGAGATCGTCAATGGACAAAATATGGATGGCACTGCTGCTTACACAACAGTACTCTACAACGGGTCAAAATTCCGTATATGACCCTAGTTGACCGCTGAAAATGAACAAAATCCTCTCTATACAGGGATGTCAACCCCAGGATTTGGGGCTCCAGGTTTTAAGACATGTTTTTGACCCACAGCCATATATCACTGGATGCTGTTGGTATCTTCCTTAAGCATCTCAAACATAAAGAACATAAAGCACTTGGACAACTTGGACAGCTAAAGGATCATAGATCACTGGCTTCCCAAAAAAGAAATTCACAACACCCGAGAGTGACGTAATTTTCTGGTGCAGCGCATGTCGACCCTCCCTCCCTCCCTCCCGCTCGGTAAATTGAAATAGTGGAGGACCAGGCTAATTACATCTTTTGATCAACACCCCACTTTGCACCTTGACCTGGCCAAGGTGCAACCACTTTGCAATCATGCCCCGTGGCGAGCCGGCGCACGGCCGCCGTGACGATCTTCTGCTCGGAGGCAGTCAAAGATGAGGCAAGCGTCAGGTCTCCTAGCGACTTGTTGGACGACATCAAAACTGAAGACTCTGCTGCAAGCAATGACATGGATCTACCTTTTCTTTCACCAATGGGGTTGTTTTCCCCCAGATAGCTGCAAGCTATAGGGCGTCTTACTTCTCAATGGTGCAGCTCTGGATCGGCATTTCGGAGTTTTCCACTGATCGACTGTGGTTACTGCAACCACTTGGAAGGTGAACAATGCCCTTGGCACCGCTCATTGACAGCGAAAGATATTAGACATTTTTTTCCTCAGGCACTATGAGCTTATTCCCCAACACCCGCTATCTGGGGTCTATGCCGGTGTAGCTTAACTGCCTTTTCTTTTTCCCTATGGGGCCCTTTCATGCCGTTGTTGCTTTCGCCGTTCTTCGTCTATAGTTCGATTTCTATACTGCTTGGATCTGCTTTGGGTGCAATTTGCCTAGTAGTATCTAGTAGCCTTTTGGATCCATATAAAAACTAACTATATATATATATAAATATCATTAAATATCCATGCCACTTTGAGACACATTCTGCTGGACTTCGAACCTCGGGCATGAGGATGAAAGTTTCTTTGATTCGTATGTGAGGCCAGTTGCGCTAGTGTGCTCAATCCCATATGTCAAGAAATGGCCCTGTGTTGTTGAAAGTGTCTTGAACATCCTGGAAAACGCTGCTCTTTCAGCACGTCCTGAATGGCCGTAGTGCACACCATCGTCCTGACATGACATGCATGAAACAAACAATTTTGACCATGCATCTAATGAACCGATTTCTGTACAACATTCCTGTCCCCCATTTAGATTTCCACAGTTTTTCTCGGCCATATGTTCCAACCAGCCCAAGCTGCTACAATAGTTCCATGTATAGATTGGCGTGCACCGGGTGTTCACTTCGCACTCCTTGTGACCATTGATGTTCAAAGGTTCAAGCGAGCTGAGGAAACAATCCTGGGAGTTCATAACCACCTCATGTTGACCAGGATCACAAAAGAGGCTGAGTCGAAGACCTGTTTCTTTCTAGTCTTAGCTCATGAGCACGTCAGCATACAGGACAGATGTGCAGCCGGGCGAAACTCCGTTAAGTATCCAAATACAGTGGGTCCAAAATTGGGAGCACACCACACATACCCAAAATGGGCACATAGACTACCTGCGGCTCTGCCTGGGATGATCGCTGTGGATATATACCTTGAAGCTTCTGCGATCTGTGTAACTAGCCAATGCTGATGCACCATCCGGCATGTCTACAGTATATTAAACAATCAATAGCAAGGTGTAGGTATAGCAAGGCAATTCTTGGACCCATCCGTTGGACCGAAAAAGCCTTTCTTCCGAAAGATGTGACTCTTGAAACATCTCGTGTTTCACAGCCTCTATACAGTTGGGGACGTCATCTCTTCCGGGTGACCCCCTTTTGGAACCAGCGCCGTGTCGATCCCAAAATCTGTCCTTGAAGTCTGATTCCTGGAGAGTCCTGATTCGCCAGTACTGATCCCAGGAATTTCAATGTTCCGAGATTGGGGGATTCATATTTTGAAGAAGGTGGGGTCATGTGAGATCACGGGCCAGAAAAGACCTGGAGGCATCCTGCTGTGAACATGCTGTTGAACAAACGGAGTCATCCGGCATGTGCTCTCAAATGGCAAATGTCCTATATCGAGCTTCGTCTTGCGCGGTTCCATCTACTTGCCCACCATCCCACTCCGGCGCTATCTCGCTATCAACTCGAACACAATTGCCCGGTCTTCCCCCCCGCTCCCGCGCGTTCACGCATGCACGCTGACTGTATATTATCTATATATATATATCCCTCTGTCTCTCTCCCTTCCTCTCTCTCCTTGTGGAGCGATTGTTGCGTTTCTTTAAGGGAAATGGACTATCAATCCTAATTACTTCCTGCAGGGCGAAGAAACTCACACAGGCCAAGACACATTCGAACATCGTCTCGAATGCCCTCTACCTAGTGTTTCCCAGTTAGGTGAAGTGACAGGAGGGTCTTGACTTGCTGGCGAATATGGAGCAAGAACGAAAGAAAACTGAAGTGGAGGTGCACTTGGTTTTGAACATGCTGCAAGGGAGAAAGGATCCTGATCGATGTCCTAAACAATTGTGCAGAAAGGTGATCAAGAATCTTTCTTGTGACAAGGCGCCATAAAAGCCAAGAGGACCACACAAAATGGCCACATAGTGATCGAATCCAACCTCAGCAGCTTCTCAATGCACGCGAAGGAGAGCTGTGAATTGGAACATATTCAAACGGTTCGCGCACCGCCGTGCAGCTGAGATACTGCCAGGCTCCTAGCTGCAATTATGCAATACTCAAGCGAGCTCCGCTAGTTCTTGCTTCGAATGAATTACAAGGTGGCTTTGATTTCTGTGACAAAGCTCGCTCAAGGAAAGGCTTGGAATCTAAGACGGGCTTCGAGCCAGAAAGGACCGCAAAAGCGAAAGACCCGGTGCCCGAAAAGATCCACCATGATCCACCCATAAATATACAAAACCGCAGCTTTGAACTGGCAATTCAAAGCCTCAGACCTGCTTGAAGTAGCCTGGTCATGGCCGGCCCACCTTGACATCGCCTAAGGCTGTAACATTGCGCTATTTGTTTGTCACATAGCTGTTTCTCCCGGTGCTATGTTGCTTTGGTATGCTTCAGGCTCTAGCTCAGTTGCTGCTATTCCCCTCTTCATCACAAGTAACGCTTCTTCAATTCCACCAGGTTGCAGCAACTTCAAGTGTGGCGACCTGTCGTTCTTTTGACCGGTCTCTTCGAGCCACACCACTCTCTTTGACTGGTCTCTTCGAGCCACTCGCCTTGTTCAGCGGCTCTCCTGGACGCCCGCAGCAGGCCCGGGAGAATGTGGGACGCCTGATTGGCGTCCGAGGCTGAAAACAGATCGAATCTGATCGATATGCATGTGTCCCCCCCAAACATGGCCCATCATGGCCCTACTTGCAACGCTGTCTTCAGGAAACCCTTTTCAGCAAGCCAACGCCGAGGGGTGTGCAGAGGCCGCAACCAGGCAACCCCTCCAGTCCAAGGCCCAGGCGTGATCTTTGGCGCCGTCTCCGGCAAGGCCTCGGTGTCTCCGTCCGCAGAGAAGTCTCATGGCTTACGGTTCTTCCGGCATGGGAGGCATATCATATCACTATACGGTGTAATTACACCATAAAACATATCACCGGAATAGGATGCACATGTTTCATCATGTTTAATATTTTTCGAGGCGGCTAGGGAAGATCGTAGGTCCGCTAGCTGGGTCTGGTGGTGCCTTTCTCCGACCCAATGGACACCTTCAAAGGCCGTCCAGCACATGGACCTGAGCCCGAGCCTGGTCGTATCCCGCGTTGCCTCATCTCAATTGGTTGCACTATTTTGCAAGTTGACAGGTTGCCAAACCATGCCACGTCTTGACCACTAGCGGGACAAGGACACGTCGACTCCCGAATTCTGCCAGTGTTCCTTTCTTTTCCAGTGACCAACCTGCTCCGGACCTGATCTCATGGCACCTTGCTTGGGGTCTATAAATATGCTATCACCGTCATCTTTCACCCGAGAAAAAGGAAACCTTGTCTCGTCTCGTCTTCCATGACGGCCGCTCTGTGTCTCATGGCACTGCACGAGTCCGACTGTGCAGAAAGGACGAGCTGTTCATCCAGAAGGAAGAGCGCTCTAAGTTGTCTACATCCTTTTGAGCTGTTCTCGCATGTACCATGTCTGGGCATCTGGCCATGTGCCTTCGAGTACCATGGAACCATGTTCCACGCTCTCGCCCCAAATCGGACCTCGAGCCTAGCCTGGGGCTCCTGACAGGCAAGGGCTTCTCTGGTATGTGGGTGCCCAGGTTAACCTGAATGCCAATGCTCGCCATGGCGAACGAATGGACAACGATGAGTCCAAAGAACCAGCAAAAGTGCAAACCCAGAAACCCTGCCGCGAAATGTTATGACGGGGATCCACAGGCGGAAGATCTTGGAAGCAATATAATATATCTTGCAACCATATTATGCAAACATCACGCTTCATGAGATGGAACCAGGTGCTACCAACGAGATCTTGGTGGATTCTTCATCCCCACTGCCAGCGCAACTGCCAATCTGCCAGGAGTCAGCGGGTTACTATTCTACAAGTCTCTCAACTTCAAACATATCGTCAAATCCTGTCGAATCTCTTCTCCACCCATGGGCCCCACAACTGGTTCCAAGATGTTCCAAGGGATGCCAACCGAGGCCTCCATGGCACCCCCAGCTGCTGCGGCCTCGTTTTGAGCATCGTTGGGCGGCATGAAGGCCACTGAGATCAAGGACTGGCGCAAAGGTCACACGACTAGTCTATCCACTGGGTATCGGATACACCGAAGTCACTGGCTGGGATGGAAGTGGATGGCATAGACTTGACAAGAAAAATTTTCTTGAAACAGGTGGTGATCTCCTTCCATGTTTGATGGCTTTTGATGGAACAGTCGCCATGTCACATTCTGACTGGTCTGACCTGGAGTAAGGGTCTCCATCTGCAAACTGGCAAGCACTTGTCCTCCACACAGGCCATTGCGAGCGGGCTTCACGTGCATCTTTGGCACGTGCGCAATCTTGCTCCGGTGGGCGCTGAAGCACATGTTTTGACAGCTTTGATTCCATTGATGTTTATATATTGATCCTGCATATTCCTCCTAGGGCTCTTTTCATACCTCTCTTGATTCATGGCTCCATCCTCCACCCCTTTCAAAACACACACAGCACCCTGACAAAGGTAGGCAGCCGCATGACGCCGCTCAGAAGAACTCGGCCAGTTCTCTCGGGCTGCACTGGCGTCTCTGGCTCGGCCACCTAAAGAGCCGGGTCGACAAAGATGGCCGAAAGGCCGACACGCAATCGGGTGGGCTCACAGTTTTTCATGGGTTTTCCAGGGTTCGTCTACCTCTAATTGGGAAAGGGCCAATTAACCCGCAGCACCACAAAAGCTTACATTTGCTAGATGAGTCAAAGAATGTTTGCAGGAAAGGCCAATCACTGAGCAAGGGCAGGGCTATGAGTGCACAAGCCCAGACCGAAAGTGCACCACTCCTGTTCAACCCAGCCGCCACGCCAAGAGCACAGGCCATGGAACACCCATCTCCCGCAAGGCCTACCAATGCACGCACAGGGCTCCACACAATAACAACACAGCAGCCACTTGGGCATGTTGGCCATATGCAAAGACGGACGCATGTGAGATATGAACCTGCTGTTGGAAACAGCTACGTCTTGAGTGACATTTCTCTCCACTAGTTTGTGTTACATATATATATATAGATTATACATGTTGCTATATATATATATATTCTTACCTATGTTGCAACATATGTCATCACCACATGCCAATACATCTATACCATTCTATAGCACTAATTAGTTATATACAACTAGTTCTTCACCGAACAGCTCCGCCTGGAGCATCACAGCACCACGCTTGCAGGTGGGCTGTGCGTGTTGGAAATGAGAGGTCATGTCCTCGGAGGCCTGTGCGCTGGGCAGGGCGACAGCGCTTGGCACGAGGATCAGCGAGGACGAAAGCACACCGCTTTAAGCGAAAAAGCGAAGGCCGAATCGAAGGGAGACCTGGCAAACTAAAGCGCATGAGAACAAAGAATGTGTAGATCAAGCCTGGCAGTCTGGTCCTAGGTCTGAGCCTGATGTGTTATTCTCCTGCATTATTATAGACTGATCCCTGCAAAATTCGCACTCAAATGTGCTCCTGCACAAACTGATCACACCATGTTCCCTGTATGGATCTATCGAATTTGAATCGTAAAGCGGCACACACCTGGTCCAAGTCCTGCTTGCACATTGGCACTTGCTCAAAGTTTGCCTCCAAGCGATGAAAGAGAGTTTGAGAGAGAAAGTTGATTAAATGTCCACCAAGAGACTGAAAAGCGCTGGGCACTCCCTCAAAAATCATCATCGAAGCGGCAAAAGGCACCGGGTTCGGTAGGAACATGGTCATCCAAAGGGCCATGTTTCACATCCCGGCCCACTTCCATGATGATTCGACTGGAGTGTCCGTTCACTTCGGATGCCTTCGGCAGTGGCTCGGCGCGGATTGGTCGATGTCCGATCGATGGAAGTCCATTCCCGGGACATCCCTTTCCGTGCGAGCTGCTTCATCTCTGAAGATGAAGCATTCAAATGAAATATTCCAATGTATGGGGTTCCCTTTTTTCAATTTAGGAACAAGTGCCACGCTACTAGGAGTGCTACTAGGAACAAGTGCCTTACTAGTAGCAACAAGAAGCTATTAGAAACAAGTGCATCGCTACTAGTAACAAGTGCCTTACTAAATCTGTTTACTTATTTTTCCTGCCCACCTGGCCGCCCGTCACCATGCATCCCATGCCTCCGCAGCCGCTGTGGCTCGTTGGCAGTTCCCCTCTTCATGGGCGACCTGCACCTGCTTCTCGGCAGAGCTCGGCAGACTCCGGGTGAACATCTCAAGTATAATATGTTAAGGTACCCCAGCAGTGGTGGAACATGCACAATCTACAACTCATATGCAACTCACGTATTCGTGGTGGAGCATTTTCAGTGGTGAGTTGGTTTCTGTTTTTCTTGGACCATTTTCAAACATCGACTTCTGCACTTGGGATCAGGCCCCTTATATAACAACGCGGGCTTGGTTTGGATCATCCTGTGATGGTGCAAGGCCTTCATTTGGCTGCAAAGCCGGAATGCCGGACACCCTGCTCAAGCATCCCAGGATGGTGTGCTGCGATTTCCCGAATGGATCACACACCGGTGCAGAGTCCATCAACAATGGATCGAAGCTTAGCACCCCCAGCAACTAGCTTTTTCCAAAATCCATCTGCACAAATGGAGCTCTGGACATCTCCGAGTGGTCCTCCAATGTGGAATCTCGCAGCACCATTCGGGAAAAACAAAACACACCACGAGAAAGTCGTGAAGAATTGCCCCCCACCAAAAGTGCTTGGAGAAGTTCTGCTCCAAACGTTCGTCGGTCTGCGCGGACCGTCCTCCACACCGGTCCCCCCGGTGCCTTCCGAAAAGCCTCCCTCAGCTGGTTGGCTCTGCTTTCAGCCTCTTTGGCCTTGGCGTGAAGTGTCTCCATTTGCCTCAGGCTTGACGCGACCAGTCTACCAAAATGATCCAAAATGTGATTGCAGGTGTTCCACAGTTTTGTTCCCAAGTTGGTTTTGCATATTGAATGCAGGACACCCTCTAACTGTCTGTCTTTCCCTCCCTCCGCCCACCCCTCTCTCTCTCTCTCCCAGCTGACTCGTGAACAAGTTGTGCTTTGTCCTTCAGAGTTCTTGGATGTTCTTAGTTCAACAAACACTCCTTGAGAAGTTGGGCCCCTTGGGCCGCCTGAACACCGCGTTTACACAAGAAAACTTGAACATATGGGAGACTGGCTATCAGTGAATGTGGGTCAAGCGAAGACAGCAAGGAGACCAACAGGAAGTAATTAAATGATGAACCCTACCTGGAATCTGCCGGAATCGTTGCTGTTCCGATGATTGAAGGATGTTGGAGGAATCATATGGTTTCGGTTGAGCCCCTTCTGTGAAGCAAAGCGTCTTGTCGAACTTGGCCTTTTCCTTCTCGAACTTGCCTTTCCGATGAGCATGTATGGGCGGGGCCGGTGTGAGTGCGCGCAGTGACTTCACCATCAGTGGAACACCTGAAATGGTCAACTGAAGCCTGTGTGAAATACCGGCCCCTTGTGCTTTTGACTTGGTCATGATCGTATCTTCGTAAATCGAAGAGGTTCTCAGATTCTCAGATGTCCTAATTTTTGTACCCCTAGCTAGGTCAGAGATAAAATTAAGTAGAAGATATTAGTAGAAGGACGTCAGTCTCCAGAACCGTAGCATTGAGTTTCACACCATCTCCTTCAGTACACCTGGTGTACAATGTGCACACTCGAGAAACAAAACACCAGGCCATTCTGCAGCGGCCTAGCATGGAAAAGCCTCCACATTGCAATATATATCTTTGAATCTACCAGGACCTACCCTGCACTGCAAAAGACCATGTGTGCGTGTCAGCTGCTGAAGACTGGATCCATGTGCTCGTTCACCTTCGCGTTTTCCTGGTGGAACTTGGAGCCCAGGAACGCAAAAAGGCCTCCGGAGGTGGCACAATGTGAAAATTGAAGGTCGCAGAACACAGCGCGAAGGCTGACAACCCGAGAAATGGAGCCAACCCCAAATGCACTCGTCGCTTATCACTATGTTTGATGCCATTCACCATTCACCCAAGCAAGCAACATAGCGCGAGTACATACAGTGCATTCTTGGGGCAAGCATCAAGGACAAGGCCAATTCCCTTGCACACTTCGCACATCAACGTAACACACATCATTGATTCGATGGGGCCCATCCTCGTTCTGCTTCTTCAGCCTCTTTTGAGAGATCCTTCTGCGACTCCTTGCATGATTGGATTCATGAAAGACATGGAAAGTACAGCCTCTATTCCATGTGCAACCTTGCAACATGATACCTAAATGCAGTATTGATCGATCTTTATTAGACATCTGGATTCGACACATCCTTCTTGTTGCCGCTTCGTGTTCATGCGCATTGAGCAAAACACATGTGTCTGATCCTGTTCAGCAACAACGATTCTTGCTCTTTTACGGTCTGTCATGTTGTAATTAGGATGTTTCCACAACGAGTGGTCTGACGAAGACATGCCGACCACGTGTCAGAATGCCTCCGTGGGACGTCACTTTCGGCGGGAGGTCGATGCAACCATCAAGCCCAAACGAACGAACCGTTTGTCGACTGACCAGCGGCTGGAGCGTGCAAGGTGCCAGGCATGCAAAGGCAAGCTTCATGGTTGGAAGTTGTTCCCCTGAGGCCTGCAAAATCAGCGTGAGCGTTGTGAAAGCTGCCGGTGGAAAATGTCCCCACCATGCTGCTATTGAAAAAACCGTTGTTGAACCATCCCTACCTACTCAAGATGGCTGGCTGCATTATGCAAAACCATGTTCCATCTTATGACAGAAGCTGCTCGGAGCCATCATGCGCTGTCAACACAGCGCTGTCAAGCCCGCATGCCTTCCGTCCCTGCAAGCCTCAAAACGACGCTCATTCCAGCAAAACAGGTGCGCAATGGTGCACACCTGTTTACACAAGAAAGCAATTGACAGGGAAAAAGGTGGAAAAGGAACCAACTTGAATAAGAATCACGAGAAAACATGAGAAAACCCTTGTAAAATTAGGTTGGAAGACACTGAACGTAGCCTTCTGGAATGCCAGTGATACAAACTCACTTCAGAATGCTTCAGACTCCAATCTGAATAGTGCACAGGCAGGGGGCGGCATGATGCGATCACATGGTGTATGAGCCACAAAAAACATTTAAAATGGGGATCCGTCATCGGCAATTGGACTCCAAACAGCTCCTGTGAAGGAAAGCTATGGTAAGCTGCTAGTAGCCCTTTTCTTTGTTGGCTTTTGAGGGTTCCCTGGTGCAGGCAAGTTGATCTACAGTAGAATCAGGACGATGAGGCAAAGGAAGATCCCAATAGATTCAGCTGCTTTGAAGGGGTCACCATTGGACCACCCTACGCCACTCCAATTGTCCCCCCTGGGAAGCACTAGGAAACTGCTATTGTGTTAAAAGTGATGACGATGAGTCCAAACAGTAGGTCTTCATTTCTCTCCCGGTGATTTTGAAAGACTTTGTGACCGGTGTGTCTGTGGTACCAGTATCGAGGGACATCCCTGTACCTCCGTGTACTGTAGATCTATGTAGGCTAAGTCCCTGAATACTACAATTATTCTCAGCAAATATGATTTAAGTCGGTATATGATATATGTAGACCAAGTCCTTGAACGGCGATTGAGTCGATGCAGCTGGTCCAAGCAGCTTATCCCAAAGCTCCTCGTTCGCTTCCTTGGGAGGTACCATCAAACCAACATGAGGAAGAATGTGCAACGTAATAATCACATGTGATATACGTGTTATCAGGTGAACCATTGCTAGGACCATGAATGAGTTGATTTATTTTGGACGCAGGCGTCAAGCCCGTCGGCGAGCCGGACTACCGAACAGACTTGGCTATACGGCTATAAGCTACTATAAGCCCAAAGAGGGACGTCCCAGTGGGCGTCCCTTGACAATAGCTTAAGTAGTAAAATGAGAAAGGTGATATTTTTTGCGATACTCTCCTAACATCAATCTCTATTCGGTCGGGCCCCTTGAGGGCGATCGCATCTCAATCTGAGTTGCGGAAGGTGTGCCATCATCAACTGCAGGCAGCTCAGGGCTCTTCACATTGTCCTTCACAGTGGGAGTGTTTTTTCGGGGCACCGTTGGGCTTTGAGGCAACATCAAATTGTTTACCTAAACCGCCGTTGCCGGAGGAAGGGAAAAGGTTGGGCACCAAAGGGTTGGCTGAAGAAAGGGTGTTAAAGCGATGTTCCCGATGCAAACTGTGAGAGTGTCTTGCGCATCACGGGTGGATACGCTCCGACCACATCATCCATGGTATCCACGAATGGGATCCGCTCGACAAAGTCTCCAGATGTCTATGTCTCCGGATGCCTCCGATGCCCAAATCATATACGTTTACTTACTTTTAAGCAGGTCCTAGGTACTCTCTGGTTCTATCTGGTCTATTCACGAAGCTTCCTTGGCAACGTTAGCTTTGGGATCACAATTGCACTCGGGGAACTGAACCTATAGCTATAGCTACTAGGAAAATATAGGAAACCCTGCAAAGTGCCCAACTTGGCATTCACCCACCTCAATAACCCTATTGCTTTACCTCCTATCGCAGTTGCTACGCAAGTGTACCTAACACTGTGGGAGGTGTTGCCCGCGAGAACTCATAAAAGAGAGACATATTATGGGTCCTTGATCAGCTCGTCGTCAAGTTGGTGCCGTTGCTTCCTGAGTCGTTCCAACGGAATTCTGCCGACTTCCCAGTACCTTCATATTGACCCACAGCGCAACATAGCACGACATATCGCAGCTTGACCAACCACTAGCAGTTACTGGTAGACATCCTGAGATGGATGGGGTCAATGGGGTCTGATCACCAGCACCCGAATGGATGGCCCTCCACTTTGTCAGTCATTTGATGCGGCCACGGTTGCGGGCTCAAACATTTTGAGAATGGTCTACACGGACGACCTTCCATGCTTCAGGTGGCTAGACAATGATGTGATCCCATAGCCAAGGTTGACCCCTGTGGCAAATCACATTATACAAAGAAAGGCTATAATAAGTATTAAGAATACTGCATGTATATATACTACTTTTAGCATCTTTTATATAGTCAATTTTGGGGTCCTACACTGGACATCAAGAGGATGATGTGGGCGCCAAGTCGCTTGAAGGTCATGAAAAAGCTGCTCTCGATGGCATCTTGCAGCGCCAAGGTTGGCGCATGACCCAGTCCATGCGCCATGAGGGCAAGAAGTGAGAGAGGAAACAATGGGAACCAAAAGCCTCAAAAAGTCCCGCCATCTTCGTCAAACTGGATATGCAAGGGGCCCATGTTCAACGTCCATCTGCGGGTCCATGTGTGTACGTGTATGAGTCTGTCAATGTGTGCAGTTTGCGGAAAGGAAAAACACAACACAAACGAACAGGTATGCTCCGGTCTGGGGAATTCTTTTACCGGCGAAAAATTAGGCAGTCCAATTGACGTTTCTGAGTGACGCGGGCCCTCTTGAATCAACCGCCTTCAATCAACATGCTCTCCTTTGCAAACGACATGGGGCAGATGCATGTTCGCACTTGGGCATGGAGGCACTAAGCGGCGACACTAAATGTTCCATATATTAGACAAGTATGTACATGTATGTATACACTATACACTTCAATTCGTTCCAATCATTTGTCATTCTCTTGTCCAAGCTGTAGCAAAGCGGCACCGTCACCAACAGCAGGTGCGATGCAATCAATAACCATAAATGACAAAAAAAGGACAACGTGCGAGCCCTTCAAGCAAACGTGCAAGCTCCAAGTCAGCGTTCTTGGCGATGCATTTTGATCATTTTCACTTGGGCGAGGTTGGACAATCAACTCTAAAACTGACTGAAAGGCCAACTGGTCCGACGACGCTGACGTGCCGGAGTGACTGACGTCGCCCCTTCGTTGTTGCTACATAACCTGATGGCAAGGCAAGCCCATATCTCAAACTAAAGTAGGCACGAATGCATCAAGCTTGCCATTCAAATGATCAGACCACCAGTTTCATCCACTCTGTCCCTAATTACTGGTCACTTCGTTCCCTCATTTGACTGCGGAGCATGTCTTCCACGGATCCCGGGCGCAAACGCCGGGGTTCCGCACAGTGAGCAACAGTCCTCCATGGCGCAGGAAGTCCGTCATGGCGGCCGAAGGGCTCTAAACAAGAAGGGCTGGTTTCTGGTTTCTTGATTGTTGATGCTTTCAACATATTCATCAGAGCCTGGGAGCACTTGGAAATTGAGGTTGAGGGATTTCTTCTGTTTTGGTCGCCAGGATTTCGTCTGTTTTGGTCACCATCTGTGGCTATCCGGTCTACTCAGCGCGTCCGCATGGTCACGTCTTTTTGTTTACACTTCTGCCATGGTCAGGAGCCCTCCTGTGTATGGCGCAGTCAGACCTTGAGTCCAAAGCACAACTCGCATCAACTCGTACTCGTCAGTCACGGGTGCATTGCTCTGCATTCTAAGAGAGCGAAAGTTAGCATTGGCTCAGGTCAACCCTGCACCAAAAAAGCAAGGAGTATACTCTGCTTATATTATGTTGTTTAACAGGTAGATCATACAATGAGCAATGACAGCAGCTGTCGTCCCTGTACGGTTGTGCATGGTTGTGCCATTTTCTCCCTCTTCCATCCATGCCCTCACTTCGTCAATCTCTTCTTGGTACCTGCCGGACCACCGACGGAAGGCTTCGTCCGGAAAAGCACGGCCACGCCACGCCTGGGATGCAGCCAACGCCAGGTCATGGAGACGCGCCCGCGCCCATCGGACGTAGCTGGTACCTTCGCACAAATCACATCAGGCCCGGACGTGCCAAAAGGCATGTTCAAGACCTGCCTGATGTTCATGACAAATGAGCAGGTCACACACTGGGTGTCTTGTGCGGCGTCTTGTGGCGTTCAACTCATACAAAACCGGTGCTTCCGGTACGCCCGGTACGCGAAATGAAAACTATCTGGCAAGGTGACTAAACTAGACTTAGGCCCTGCCTCATGCCCATAGAGAAAGCGCGCCTCCCTCTCCAGGCACAGGGTCGTGCCACACTTTTCTGAGACCTGCCAGGAAGGGGGCGAACATGGGCAAACGAAGCAAAATGGTCGGGTGCACAACCTAACCTACGACATGTGCAGACTCGCTGACAAAATCCTCATCTGGTGTGCCAATAGGCTGCTCCTAGTTCTGGTGTGTTCTCCTACTATTGAATCGACCAGAAATCATCACATCAGAAATCAATGCCAAAAGCTGGACTGTACCCCTTGGCCTGATAGGTTTGTGGCAAAGCGTCAGCACCTCGCGTGCGTAGTTCGGCCGGAATTGTGGCAGGCACCTTGCCACGGAGGTGCGCTATCTGTGTTGGAAAGTGATGTCCAATGACTTTCACCTGGTGCTCGTCTATTTTCAGGGTTCTTGACAATTCAATGAGCATGGTCATGGATAGGTGATAAGTCAGGACAAATTATGAAAAAAAACAAATGAAAACAAGTAAGTGTGACCCCGTCAAAGAACTTTGGCATGCATCCATCCTGGTCCGGACCTGGAAGCGGTCCTCCATCCCATCTGCCCCATCCGACGCCCAGTTGCGGCAGCTGGGCCACTTTTTGGGGCTCCGCTTGACGCAGCTCCGAGGCGACCGGCTCTGGGCACGTGGAGCTCCAGAGCGGGTGGAGCGGGGCGGGAACCGAACCTTCCCGCTGGCCCCGAGGGGGCGGCGTTTTTTTGGGACGACGCCTGAGTGCAATGGCAGGGGGGTTCGCAATCTCCCAAAGATGTCCCAAAAGAAAAGGGCAGTCTGATACTCCAACCAGCAGAAACCACCGCCTGCAGGTTAGACAACAAGGCCTCACTGGAATCCAAACAAGGATGAGCTTCTGCGTTGCCGGGGTTTCTGGGCAAGTTTGAGGTCATTTGCAGTCTGCTTGGCCTTCTGCCTTGTCACTTGTCACATCAGGCTTTTGTCCATAGAGGTTTGAAGGGTGTCTTCTTTAATAGAACGAATTGCCCAACCCACAACCAAAGATTGCCAGCAAACGCCACACCATGACAAACCAAGATCCTTGTTCTTTCTCCCATCCTCTTGGCATCTCTTCGCACCAAAGAAGTGTCTAAGATCATCCCGCTCAACTGCCATCCACATGAGACACCCCAGCTCCACTGGTCCACTGGTTCCTGCATATCCAAACGGAAGCAGGGCAAGAGAGCGAAGGAAAAAAAAATAAGATTCCACCCAACCCCTGATCTCAACTCGACTGTACCTGCACTTTTTTCCAACAACTGATTGTGTTGAACTGGAGCGATGCGGATCTCAACCTTCAGCCTGGTGAGGTGCGGTGTTGAAGAAGCATCGCCCTTTAAGAACAAAGTGGTTTCCAGAATTCCAGGGAATGGCGTGGCCATAGAACGATGATGCCAGCTGAACACAAAAGAGATGATCTTGCCGCGCAGATATGCACGCACTGCCAACATACACATTATAGAATTGTTCATTATGCCACATCCGAGGGTTGTCATCGAGTCGATCGCAACTACGCTTTCCTCTGCAACTGAGCTCACTTGCCTTGCCAGTGCCGTTGGCTTCAAGACGCTTCAAGAATCTACTGCAGTCTTGGGCACTCCTTTTGGTGCCCTCGCCAAAGCCGAAATGAGGCCGCCCTCACTTCCCATGCGCCGGCCGTGGTTCCAGACCCTGAGTGGCTGTGTAGCTCCACCGTGTCCCGAGGAAACAAACACAAAATAAAACGAGAAAGGTCGAGAAAGAATTGTTGTTTCTTTGCTGCCAGGGCGTGACCATGACCCCCTTGTGCAGGAGATAGCCGGGAGCGGCGGGGAGAAGTGTGTTAAACAAGTTTGGAGAGTGAAAAAAGATTGTGGAGAACAAAAAAGAATGGGGAGTCCAAAACGGCTTTCCCTATTGGCCACTACCACGGCACTTGGATTCTCTTTGAGATTCTCTCAGAAACTTAGGGCACGGGGAGGCACATAGAGGTACCAACACTCAAAAAGAGGTCTTATTAGATCTTATTAGGAGTTGTCTAAGGCTGTTCCTCTATATAGGCCTCCATGTTCTCAGGGGTTACATGCAAAATGCCTTCAAACAATAAGCACAAAGGCCAGGCGTCGGTAATGGAGATCCCTAGCCTCACACAGAGACCGATACATCAATGATACAGCCAGTCCCTAAAGTGGACCAGGCTGAGAAGGCATCCTATCAAACGTGTCTTGAGTATCGTAGGCATTCGGACCTTCACCAAGCAAGCCCTAATTGCCCACCCACCCTCTCTGACTCTGACACAAACCTATGGCTTGGGTATATCATAAATCCTATTGCCAGTACAAGTAACAGTGGATGATGATGGTGAGGTTTCTCTAAAACAGCGATTAGTTGTTTACTGAGTTTACTGACTGTTACAGGTAGAACACGTAGAACAGCAGTGTAGCCAGACCCAACCCTATAGCTGGCCACCAGCAGACTCCCAGCCATCCGCCAGCGCCGATGGTGAACTCAGTGAGGCCACAGGTCGCGTGCATCCAGGCCTCGGGCAGCAGCAACATCTCCTCGGTCGCGGTCGCGGCGGTCGCGACCGCGCGGTCGGGATCGGCGGGTCGGAAGCGTGGGTCCCGTGGCGATCGCGGCTGTGTATGGACGCCAATGCCAAGCGCGTTTGGAGGGCCAGGTGGGGTGGGGAAGTACGAAATGATGCGAGATGGATGGTGGGAGGAGGAGGAGGAGGTAGGGGAAGGGCAAGTCGTAGCCAAGCCGGACAGACTTTAGTCGCAAGGGCAATAAACATAGGTTGCAAGACTCAGGGCAAATCTCCCCTGTTAAAGGGATGGGATCCAAATGACTGGCATGGCTACAAGTCTTTTGCGAGTTGACAAGAAAAAAGGGTGTGATCTGCCGGCGCCAACAAAACGCCGCCGTTTTTCTCGTCATACGCTTGCATCCATATATATATATATATATTCAGTATATGATTCGAATGTGCTCTCAGCCAAATGCGCAAACATCTTGAACCCCCTGGTCCCTTTCCACCAAGCTGCTCCGGGCTTGGTAATGCACTTGATTACACCTGGCCTCAGTTTCATTTCTCAGGCTCTCACGCGAAACCTCATGAGGCCACCGCGATAAGATCTGTGGAACAGGGAGATCACAGCCGCGACAGATCACCGAACCGGACTTGAGACCTCTTTCCACCTCGTCTTCGCTGATCGAGCATCCTATTTGCACAAAAGCAGGTACGCGGAAGGTTAAATCGAACTAATTCTTAATGATGCACTGATGAACTAGTTCCTGAAGCCTTGTGAGTTTCTGTGTGAAAAGCCTGAGTCCTGCATACCTCTAGCATCTCAAACAAATAGCACGACAATTATATGTATACATATATATATACACATGTATTATGTAATGATGAGATGCATCTACCAAATCCAGTTCCATTGAACCTCTTCTTAGGGTCCAGTCGTATGCCAACCGATGTCAGCCCCGATGTCAGAAACAACACACCGGGCCAAGCGGCCAAACTCAATGTAAACCTCTCAAAACTCGTGGCGGACCAGTCAGACGATGTCGGAATACTCTTTGGAACCCGCCCCCCTACGCTGCAATACGCTGTAGACAGGGTAGGGGTCCACATGAGCTGGGTCCAGCGGATCCCCAACTCATCTTGAGGAGTTGAGAGCAGCTAAGTGGTTTAACTAGAGCTTTGCTATCTTGCCCACCAAATTAAATGATGACCCCGCAAGAGCTCTTCGGGATCCTGCGCTGCGGACATGTTGATTATCCTGGATCCTTCACCATGTCACTACCACTACCAAGCAAAGAGCCCTTGTGACACTTGTGCTGCGTGATGACGCACACGGGCTATGTGTGATGCCGCTCATGTCATCGGTACTGAGTTGGGGACGGTGGCGCCACCTGCAGCTTCGTAGAAAAGTAAGTAAGTAGGTAAGTAAGTAAGTAACTAAGTATATAATGTAAATATATTATTGCTGCTCATGTGATGCAATTAATAATACTACTTACTCTATTCTCCAAAAGCTGGTAGAAAAGAACATGAACGAGGAGATCGGAATCTGTGGCCTCCTGGCTTCTTAAACCACGCTGGGGCGAGAGATGTATCGAGCGACAAAAAGAAACCCAACATCAAAAACTTGAGGACCTCGATGACATTCCAACATGTCCCGACTTTCTAGCATGCAATGGAGAACAGGCCTTTGCAGGTGACTCGATTATGTGTTCGTTAAAACTGGCGTCCGCCTCCTTGAGAAAGGCGCAGGCGTTGGGGTATTCGAAGGTATCGGTGAGATTGGCATTGGGCAACTTTGGGGCACCGCCCCATTCCTTGGCACTTCGGAACAGGCAGTCTGGCCAGTTGAGTGAGGAAAAAACAAACAAACATAAACAAACCAAACAGCGACATGATGACATGGACATGTTGAAGAAAGTGAGTTGGTATATTTGTGGACACGAAGTCACATTCCCATCTTCTAGTTTGAGAAGGCCACTGTCACCTGGCAAACTGGTAGCACACGGTGTCGCTCATCAGTCATCCAAGCGCTTTTTTCAGCCAAGCAGCCATCAGTCCGTCTTCATCCACCATATTCCTAGGCTGAGAATCGGCCGAGCCAAAATTTAACCCTATCTCATTCTCAGGGTCGAAACTCCAGAGAAGGGAGGTTGGCTCCAAGGATTAGTGATTAGTTGATTAGTAGGCTGGTTGCTGGCCTGCCCCAGTACAAGTAGAAGTGAGACGGAACACATTCAGTGAAGATGATTGGTTGGAGCAAGGCTGCGGTCCCATTTCTGCACTCTCGGGCAAAAAGATCTTGCAGCCATGACGCGAACCATACCAGGGTTCCAAAAGCCACCAGTGTTTGGTGCCTGTTTGGTGCCACCAGCGATGGTGAGCGATGTCGTTGCCATAGGGACTGGTGAGCTTAGGTCTGAAAAAGGGGGATGGCGCTTGTTGACGCGCAAGTCTCAAAAGACGGTTGCGATCTGCTGCGCTTGGGTGTTTGGAGAAAGAATCACACATCACGTAATGTATAAAGACTTGCTAAGTTGATCTCAATTGGTGTACAAGAGTCAAGCATGCATTGTAAATAGTGTATATGTTAGTGATATATATATATATATAAAATAGTCACTATAGTCCATATAGTCCGTAGTGTCCCGCGTATCCTCCCAAGGGCTGAGGACATTCTGCAACAAAACAGGCCTGTCTGTGCCCGGCCTGACACCTGTGTGTTCCAAACAGGATCGTGGCAATGAAAGCCATGGGAGCTTCCTGCTAGTTTGCCCCGGTTGCGACGGGGCTACCGGTTTGTGCA